CTGTTTTGGAGGCTTTTGCCTTTGTGGGCTCCTTCCTCCATAAATATTGAAATTGTATTTTACAACTGCATTGGTACAAAAGCACAATCCAATTTCATCGGTACTCATTTTTTTGCTTCTGATTTTACAAGGAAAACATTTTCGTGGACCCCTAAACTGGGATACATCAGCCCACCAGAGGTCAGAATCCAGGAATTTCGGGTGGGTGGGTCCTGAGATAGAGGAGGGGCACTTGAGCTGAAAAGTGCCAATAACAGACAGTGTTGCTCTCATAGGGTCCACCTTCCACCAAAGTACACTAAGATTCAGATGTGTTCTGGTTCTGGATGACCAGATTTGCATACTCACAGATTTCATGTTCCCAGGGATCTGTGTACCAGCAGCACTAAGAAATATAGCCTGGTAAGCAAAAGTAATGTTAATATGTTTTCCAGTCTTTGTGTCTCTTGAAGAATGTTCATCGAAATCTGTAACTCATCACAACACTTCTAAAAAATCCAATGTCCTCCTAATTCTCTCAAGCCCCCCAACTGGTCTTTCTCCAAAACCCACCAAATTCTCTCCCTAGTCGCACTTGTCTGTCTGCCCCCAACTCCATCGTCGTTTTGTTTCCTCCCTTCCATTACCCGGCTTGTTCTTAGAAAGGCGAGCACAGAGACCAGTGAGGAGGAAGAATGCTCCTCCCTAGGAGAGGTAGATGGGAGGAAGGAAGGAGTGCTGAGGATACACCTACCTCATCAGTCTTTGCCCAATCACAACTGCAAAAGCTAAAAGCCTTAAAAATGACCCATTTTATTACAACATCAGTATGAAACGTATCAACAGAAATGCCCTTTGCGGAGACCAGCTGTCTGCAGAGATGCAGGAGAAGGGGGAGCATAGGGGTAGGTGAAGTGCCAGGAGAGGCCTGCTCTATCTCTCGGCTCTGACACATCTTCCGGAAGAAGCAAATGTTATCCAGCCCTCCATGGGAGAGTTTTAGTTCCTGGAGTAGATAACTGCATGGCAGAAGAATGCTATGGAGCTCTGGGCTAGCCACTTGGTGGCAGAACCGAGGGCTCCGTTTTATAGATGAACCAGAATTCAAAAACAAAATCAAGTACCGATTGTAAATTATAGACCAAAGCTACAGAAATGTTGGAGGAAAGCAGTACTTTTTAGACTGTTCTGTCCCAAAGAGCCTTATTTCTGTCTCGGTGTTTGATTCGTTACTGGTACTTTCTGACTGGAGAGGGGGAATACAGGATGAGGTCTCCAGACCTGCAAGGCAGCTGAGCTCTGAACGCCGCCTACATTTCTGGGGAGAATGAGACCTTCCCACCCAGACAATGAGCCGTCCATAGTTTTATGTCTGAGCAAACAAATCCAAGCCCACTGATAATGCAGGCGCTCAAGAGCTATCGCTCCCACGTGTAATTGTCCATTTTCACATAGTAGGAGTGACTGCGTCACTGTATTGTTACAAGCTTAAAGAACCATAGGGCTCTGGAAGGATCTCTGTGCTAGTAAATCTCTAACAGCTGGTATTCTACTCACCAGGGAGACACTGCAGCTCCATCTGCCTGGGAAAAAAAAGTCAAAATAGCCTGGACCTGGAATTGCCAATACACCTCAGGAGGGTCATACTGGGTCTTCCTACTAAGCATGTCCCATCAGTGATAAAACTAAGCTAAACCAGCTGGTGGCTGGAAGGCACCCAGAATCGGGCCTTAAGAGTTTTTGAAAATTTACTGGATAAAAACTAGGAGAAATCGCACTGACATTTAAAAGCTGCAGTCGTCTGCAGTGGAAACTTTACCCGGTTAGGGTAAAATATCTAGCATTCCAGGGAAACCGAATTATTCTCTGTCTCACCAGGGGGGTGAGGAAACAAGTGTGTGAAATTTTAGATAGAATTATTTGATAGGGCACAGACTCATGTACAAACGTGACTGTATCCTTCTCTGAATGCTTCAGATCCCTCATTTGTAAAATGGAGACTTTATCCCTACCTTAAAGTTTGTCATGAGGATTAATTGTGCTAATACAGGGAAGCATTTCCCTTGGCATATGCATGAGTACTAAGTGAGGTTGGCTCTTACACAAATGTAAAATAATATAGAAATAGATGTATAGACACAGACTTAAATTCTGTCTCAAGCTCCATTCCACCTGGCAGCAGAAACTCAGTCCCGCTCAACTAGAGGAAACCCCGTAGTATCAAGTTCCTGTAGTAGATTCAGGACAGAGGCACAGGAAGAGAACACTTGCCTTTGGCATCCCCTGTCTTTGGTCCTGGCATCTGTGCCAAGAGCTTCAAGGGCCTCTTTTGAGCCTACACTAGATTTTTTTTTTTTTTTTTTTTTTTTTTTTGCTGCATTCCTGCCATAAGGACCCACTCTAAAGGCCAGGAGTGTGCAATGCCCTCACTTACACCTGCAGAATGGGGAAAGGAACGGCCAGGAGGAAGCACATCAGCCAATATTTCAAAATATCTTGCCACAAGAAATGTGACTTTTTTTTCTGGTACTTTACAGTTCCCACAGAGTGTGTGCTTACATCATCTGTGAGCTAATGATTCTTCAGTTGGCTTCTTCAGTCTGGACTTCTCTGACCTCTGGATTCCTGTATCCAACCGACATGCGCACTTGGAAGTCCAATTAGCTCAAACTGAAGAGACCCCCTTGGTTCTACCTCCAAAATTCATATCAATCTGTTCCCTTCTCTCCACCTCTGCTGCTACCACCCTGCACCCTGGCTGATGCTCCCATCAGCCTCTAACGGGGAACAGAGAAATGGCTTCAGAACTGGTCTCCCAGCTACCCTCTTGCCAGCACTAACTCGTTCTCTGTACAGTGGGATGATATAATACAAATCACACGATCTTACATCTTCACTCAGAAGTCTCCAGTGGCATCCCTTCCCACCTTAGAAATCTGCAAACCCCTCGTCCTGGCCCCTACCATCTCTCTGACCTCCCCTCACTCCCCCTTCGTCCTGCTGTTCACAGTCCACCACACTGGCCTTTTAGCATGCCAACCTCAGTTCTTTCTCAGGGCCACGGGAGGCACTTATCCCATGCCATCTCCATGGGCTTGCCTTTACTACTCAGGTCAAACGCACTCCAGCACTGACTACCCAAAACTAAACTAGTCTCCTAAGTCTCTTTGTATCGCCTTAACCTTTGATCGCCTTGCTCACCATCTCCTGAAGTTACCTTGTTTCTCTAATTTATTATCCACCACATTAGGAATACATGTCATTTTATCTAATGCCTTAAGGTTCCCACAGAACTCACATATGCACACACACACCCCTAAGCTCCATGAGAAAAGTGATCTTGTCAGACACACAAATATTTTTGAATGAATGATATTATTTGATACTCATATTTCTGTCATTCATTCCCATGCAATTCACACATAAGGATAAAACTACTTGTAAATCTCTGAAACATAATATGCAATTTCAGACTTCCTTGACTTTACACAAATGGTTGCCTCTGCTAAACATGTCCTTTCTTTGTTCTGGTAAACTGTTGGTCCTTAAAACCCCTATTTGGGTAGGGAGCAATCAGAATGAGAATAGGAACTGTGGAGGCAGTGAGGCAGGGGAGTATGTAGGCATACTGCTCTGTTGGTGAGGTCAGAACTTGGAACTTAGAGGAAGACTGGCTTGGAGTCTCTGAGGTGAAATTCTGCCCCAAATCTGGAGTCTTCTTTCTCCTCAAGACAAAAAACAAAAAAAAACAGTTTTGAATATCCAGCAACCCACTCACCATCTCCATTTGCATGTTTTTTAGGCTTTCCAAATTTAACATGTCCAAATAGAACTTACGGTGGATAGCCTTGTCCACCTGCCCAACCCGAAAGCTGTGGAGACATCCTTGACTCGGCGCCGCCAACACCTCACATCCAGTTGGTCGGCAAATCTGACCCCTTCTTACGCATCTCCCCACTGTCACCCTTGTCCTAGCCTCACCACCTCTTCACTGCGCCACCCTCTAACTTCTGATCATCTCTCTTCCACCCTGGCTCCTACTTTTCATTCTCTGCAAAGCAGCCAAAGCAGTCTTTTTAAAACTTAAATCGGATCCTGTCATCCCCTCCTCAAAACCCCCCAATGGCTTCCCATCATATCTAGAAGACTCAACGTAACCCTCAATAGACCTACAAGACCTCCCTACATATTCTGGAGTGCCTGCTCCTCCAGCCTCGTTTCCAACATGTTTCCATGTGGAGCACAGGAAGGAGATTAAAGACACAGACTCTGGAGCAACTCTGCCACCCATTGCCTGTGTGACACTGGGCAAGTTGTTTAATATCTCTGTGCTCCCATTCCTTTGTCTCTAAATCAAAGATGATAAGACCTTACCAAGCTGTTGAAGGATGAAAGGAGTCCCAAGAACAGACTGGAGCATGCATGGCAGGCCTCTGTACATGTTTATGGTTTTAGGTAGGTTGATGTCATGAACCCTTAAATTTGAAGAAACAAGGTGAGTACAAAAAAAAGATTTAGGAAGGAGAATATACTTGCTGGTTGTTATAGTTGAGTTTTAAAGACTCATGAAGTCTTTAGTTACATGCATGGTAGAATCTTCCCTTTGCATGGGAAAAATCAAAGAAAGTTTTAGGAGTTTTAATAGCACTGTGTTGATTGATGACTTGGCCAGATAACAGCCTGTTTAAAACTCGCTTTTTATTTATTAGTCCCTGGCTTTAAACACCTTCCCCTGGGGAAACGAGTCAGACTCCAAAAGGGATGGGCAAAGACACTGACTTGATTTGTAAGAAAGGAGGAACAGGGCGCTGCCAAGAACCATTCAAAGACCCTGTGGGCGGGGGGCGGGGGGCGGAGGGCAGAGAGCCCTGGTCGGTGCTCCTCATGTGGCAGTGTGACTATAAATCACCCCATGATGTCGGCAAGGCTGATAGTTACCCAGGTTTTTGCTCTAACATATCTGCTCTTTAGGACAAACAAACAAACCTCTATTCTGGGGGAGGCATTCTTTTCCTGGTATAATGGCTTCTGTTCCCAATTCTGATGAACTGATTTTTTTTGTGAATGGAAGAAAGGTAAGTTTATGAGATGATTCATGTGAATTTTTGTATACCAGGGACAAAAGCCAAGCTTTTTTTTTTTTCACTGCAATGCCACTTGTTATGTCTTTATCCTCTCCTCTCTTTTTCAAGTCATATATAGTAGTGTGAACCTGAACATCGATCATTAGTTCAAGGTTTGGTGCAAAGTATTAAGGCATTGGGGCCTTTGCTTGCTCTTTGCTTTTCTTTTGGAATCAGTAAGGAACTCTCATTTTCTTTGTTATATTACAACCAAAGTAAATTCTGACACAGGTATGAAAAATTGTCATTCCCTCTTTTATTTGCATATTAGCTCTACTTGAGTTCACCCATGCTATTTTAACAGAAGGCGTATATGACATTGAAGGTAATAGTAGCAAAGAATGATTTTGTTTTGTCTTAAGCATCTCACACTGATCAATAAACCTAGAGGCGGGAGTCTCTCTGTCTGAAACATGGAGTACTAATTAAGCTACCTTCTCCAGAAAAGATGTGGCAGCTCTAATGCTTAGCCTGGGCCAGTTGTTCTCAACCCTGTACTTTAATGAGCAAAATGAATACATGGAAAGTTTGAGATGCCTTGGGAAAATTAGAGGAAAAAAACTAGTAAATTATTAAAATGAAAAATTATTTTGGACAGTCATTTGGTGCTAATGCTTTTGCTTCTCAAGCCTCAGTTGTTTTAGAGTACTGATGTTCTTCTGTAAAGAAAGAAACACAACTTTAATCAAGGCAAAAATTCTTGGGATTTTTGCCTGTCAAATAGCAGGGAAATATCATTTTTAGGAAGTCTATGAACTAACAACAGAAAGAAAAAATAAAAAACGAAGGAAAAGTCTGGGTTTAGCAATAATGTTTACCTGTAGGTCAGGATCTTGAATGACCTGAAGCCAACTGGAACATCAGAAAAATTATTGCTGAGCGAGAATTTGTAGTAATTCAAAAGCTGAGAACTTACTCTGAGTGTGAGGAAAATGGCTTTGCTGCTTTTCCTTTGTTGGGGAATAAAACCATTTCTCCCTTAATATCACATTAGAATGATTATTCCCTTCAATCTTTTGAAATCACAGCTGATATTTTGCTGTTTTTACCCTTCTCTGTCTTACAAATTTCTAAGACAAGTTACAGATGACCAAAGGAGGGAAATTATACACCTCTTTGAAGAGATTGGTTTTGTTGTTATTTTTGTGGTTGTTTTTCCTTCCTTTAGACCCAGGGGCACAGAGTTCAGCAAAGCACACTCATCTCTGGTTGTGGCACACCATCATCACAGTCTGGACAAGGCTCCTCTTTCGTTTTATATTATTTCTTTTTTTTTTTCTTTTTATGTCCTATCTTCTCTTTATTTCCTTCCCCCATAAGCATCCACTCTTGTGCATTTTAAATATATGTCCTTCCCATCTACTTTCCATATGGTCATTTAGAAATATAGGTATGTCTTTGAAATATACAGTATTTGGCCTGCGGAGTGTTGTGCACGAGTGTGTGTGTGTGTGTGTGTGTGTGTGTGTGTTCTTATGCAAGTGGTGTCGTGACTTATGAATTCCCTTTGTGACTCATCACTGTTCTTGAGATTTATCCATGTTGTTCTTTGAAAACCTGTGACTTCTGCATGCTAGTTCTCCAGGCTATGCACATCGTTCATTCTGCTTATCCAGGACCCTAGCAATAGACACATAGGGTGCTTCCAATTCCCCACTACCCCAAGAAATGCTGCAGTGAACATCCTACAACGTGTCTCCTCGCCAGCACTGGCAAGAGAATTTCTAAGTGAGATTGTACCTTGCCGATTTCAGAGGTCCTGACAGGTGGCTTTCCAGAATCTTGCACAAGTTACCTCTCCCACAGTTCATTGCATGACAGATGCTGTTTCCTTGCCAAGAGATGATTTGCCAATCTTTAATGTGCCAAAAGTTGTTATAATCAGACTTCCTAAGGTTCCCTAATCTAATGGGCATGTTGTCTCGGGGGTTTCTGCTTGCATCTCTCCAATTACTAGTGAGCTTTCCCCTGTTTTCATATACTTACTAAAGGATTTATTTCCTAAGTGTCTATAAATTACTGGAGGAAACAGGATGTACCTATATAATTTTGAGTGCAGCTATTGGTGTGACCAGTATTTCTCATATGATTACTGAAATATTTTTTTAAATGACTGGGAGTACCATATATTTGATAGGTCAGAATTACAGTTGGCAGCCTTTAATTAATTTCCCAAAGTCTAATCTTGCCTTTTCCTGCATTTGGAACCTGAGGCCATGTCATGATTGAAGGAGACAGCATTAAATCAAGTGTTGCACTCATTGGGCAGCTAAAGTGGTTGGGGAAGGTTTACTATTTAACTGAAATGTTGTCTCAGGTATATCAATGTCTTTATAACACAGAATAGGGTCATCAGGCTGTATTCCCCCATTATAGAGACAGGAAGAAGTTATATTAGTCCTGGTTTGCACACCATTACTCCCTACCCCCTCTTTTGTTCCCACCTTTGGAAATAATTCCCATAGCCACACAATTAGGGTGTTAAAGCAAATCTAACTATAATGCTTTGTTTCTGAGATGCCACTATACTTAGCCTCCTCCTCATGCTATGATTCCGAGTGGAGGGGTGATAAGCTCATCTCTGGCTGAGTAAAGCTAATGAGGACTCAGAAGTTTTGGAAATAGGAGGCAGCATATGAAGAATAATGTGGCCTGTTGCCTTTTTCTGGGGTGATAAAAGTAAATACTTTTAATGGAACAATGTCCTCTGTTTCTGGGCTCATTGCTACACTTCCTTGTAAATTTCTCTCCCGTTCTCCCTAATCTTGCCTGACTGTCTCTAGCAGAAGAACTGTCTGAGCCAGTGAAAGCAGAGAGTTTTCATCTCATGTGCCAGCTTCTATCTATTGGCAGTAACAGCCAGGAGTGCGACATGAAAGGCAGAGCCAGATTCATGCTCCCTTCTGCTCTTCCTTTGCATGGTGGCACCTCCCCTTCACTAGGGGACTGGGAGCTGGGTATGGGAACAGGAGGGGCTCCCGTTATAACGTGCATCCCATGACTCCATTAAGAAATCTCTGGCTAACCTCTTCTATGACTTCCTATGGCCAGGAGTTATCTGAGTCAGTTTTGGAATCTATGTATCTGTTTCCCTATTTGGGCCCTTTCTGGGTAACTATAAGGAAAAGCAATCCAGAATTTGTAATTGTCATATATATTCAGAGACATTGAAATAATGCTCCATAATTTCTTTAAAATTGGTTCCAAGTCTTAGAAAGTTTTCCTTTGTTATTTTTTTCCCCTGTGAAGCTACCATCTGTTAAAAACATGCCCCCAAAACAATGGCTAGAATTGCCCTAACATGTTGGTATTATCTTCCTAAAATCCCTGTTCTCGTTTCACAATGTAGGTCATAGAGAAGAATGCTGATCCTGAAGTAAACCTCCTGGACTACCTGAGGAAAGTCCATATCCTTACATTTTACTATAATGAATCTGGACTGGGTGGTAAAAAGTGAGCATGCTAAGTCTTCTGAAGAAAGTCACCCTGTATTTGCTCAAGGTTAATACCCTTGTGTTCGATCTGTAGAGTCTAGTTGGAATTGACAAAATGCATCCAAAAGTGAGAGATCCATGCCTTATTTGTGATATTTTTCACCAGAGCAAAACCAAAAGAATCATCCAGTGAGGCATGAGTGTGCTAACTTTCGAAATAACTTTATGACCTTTTGAGTCTCGTGGCCCCCTGACGACGGTTTTATATTCGAGAGTGTTAAAGTAAAAACATCCAGCCAGCTGCTCAGGGGTACATGGTACCGACAGTGGTCTCCCATGAGGACTTCCCTGACTTGTCACTTAACACCTTTTCTTAAGTCTTATTAGAGAAAACAAGGTTCAATAAACATATTTCAAAATTCCAACATAGAGCTACTGTACTCTCAGCTCTCCACCTCTGATCTGGACCTTTTTTCACCCCCTACCCCTCCCAATACCTTCAACAGACCTGCAATAAATAATTCAGGAAGAATGTCTTGGGTTTGAGGAAGCACAAGTAATTGTGGCAGTGGTGACAGAGATCTGTCTGTGAGATAAAATTGCCTAGAACTGTATGTATATGGTATGCGTGCATGTGTAAGTGGTAAAATCTGAGTAAGCTCCCCAGTCTGGTTATCATTGTAATACCCTGGTCAACTTCCTGCTTTTGATGTACTATAGCTATGTGGGATGTCATCTTTGGGGGAAGCAAGGTGACAGGTATTGTCACTATATTATTTTTGCAACTTCCTGTGAAACTATAAATATTTCAAAATAATAAGTTAAAATATATATGCTTATTGAACACCTACTAAGAGCCAGGCACTGTGTTAGGCTCTGGGGATTCAACGGTATACAAGATAATGTTATCCCCTCTCTTCGGGATCTTCACTTCCTTGCCCCCACTTCTGTCTTTTTGCCTCCCAACATACCCATCTAAAAACACTACTTTGTTTCTCCCTGTTATTTCCTTGCCAAATTTATCTAAGAGATTATGTGTACCTGATGCCTCATTTTCTCTCCAGACTTTGTGTCTCACTATGTAACCCCTTGCAATCTGGTTTCCTAACCCATCATTCCAACTGCTCTAGCCAGTATTGTCCCTTAATGTCCCATTCAACTCACTATTCTGCCCAAGCCAGTTATGATCTCCGCCCATGAAATCCTTTTTAAACTCACCCAGAAAAGGCCCCAAGCAAATTCAGTAGATTCTTACAGAACCTAAAGCAGGAGATTTAATATATTATTTGTTCTCTCTTTATGCAAACATCTTACAGGGAAAAGGTACACAGTGCTTGTTGACATTACCAGTTTAGGAGCCCATGGTTATTAAATTAATATTCTCTAATCCAATAAGAAGGTAGAAGCATACATTGGTGAACAGAGCAAGTTAAGCCTCCCAGAGACGGTTTTCCAAATTTTCCCATGCACTACTTCCCAGCACCTCCACAGTGACCCATTGTCCACAACTCTGAATTCAAAAGCCTTTTTACACCTCATTTGGATGTAAACCCTGATCTCTCACGAGGCCCTTGGTAGTCTTCCTGTTCCCCGTCTAGTGTGAATATCCCTATGGTTCACTGTGAAAACATTAATGTGTTTGATTACAAGGTGCTGCCCTAGCCCCACTTGGGAACACTATCTTACTACCTTTGTAAAATATGGAGATTTTTACATTAGAAATGCATCCGGCCAGGAGAGTTTCAGGTAAGGCAGTGTGAGTCTGTAAGGATTTCTTCTCATCTTTCATCACTGGGCTCATTTATATGCAAAATAATGGAACAGCTGTCTAAACAAGACACCTCGGTGAGACTCAAGAAAACGTGTTAGTCGTTACCTGTATCCGAGGAAGAACAGCGTAAAAAGCAAAGTGGCCCGCACCCCTCTTTTTCCTTGACTCCCTTCCTTCCACTCTATCTCACGGGCACCAAGGACAGCTGTGGGGGAGGGGGCTGTGGCGCCTGCACTGTCATGATGTCAAGATACAACCCCAAGACCAAGAAGATCCAGTATCCTTTGTGTCTGGGAAGGAGGCAAAGCCTCCATCTTTTCCTGCCCACAGGCACTCCCCTCTTTTCTTTCCAGGTGTTTATCGCACTCAACACTACCTCCCAGCCTGCTCAGCCCACAACTTCCTAAGCTCTGGATCTTTCCCGTGGACTTTGTTTCCATGAGAGTGTACCTGTCCTGGGTGCCCCTCTCTCAGGGTCATGGTCTCTGTTGCTATATAAATGCTACTTTGCTTTTAAGCAAGAGATTTCAGAGTGGGGGGGTCAGGCAAGAATGGCTTAAACACAAAGTAGTGATACACTTCTGTCTTGGTAGAAGATTTGGGGCTTTGACATACACTAAGAGGAATTTGCCTGGAAGGGCTGAACAGGGTCTCAAATCACCTTAGCCTAAAATGCAAATTTGCTCACTATGATTGAAAGTGGTGGTGAAGGAGTTGTCTGGCATGATTCCAAGTTCTTGTCTTAAGTCACTGGGTGGTGCTGTCCACAAAGTAGGGAACTTGGGAGAGGAGGCACAGAGGAAGGGAAAGCAGTAAATTTAGCTTTGGACACATTGCACTAGGGCAATTACGGGACGCCTAAGAAGGATTGTCCACAGGCATCAAGATAAACGGTTCTCTCACTCAGAGAAGAGGTCACATCTGGGGCTATAACTTCCTGGAAGCTATCACTGTAAATATCAACAATGGTAATAAAAATAGCTAACGCTTTTTGAATGCTTATCATATCAGTGTTCGAAGTAGCTTGCATATATTACCATATTTAGTCCCCAAAGCAACTTTGAGATAGGCTTTAATATCACTCACATTGAAAAAAGAGGAATCCAAGGCAAAGAAAGTTAAATAACTGGCTCAAGATCATGTGGGCCAGTTGGCAGTGAAGGCAGGTGTTCAGCCCTGGGCCATCTGGAATGTAGCACACTGCAGAAGAACTTAGGAGTGCAGGACACTATAGAACAACAGACATCTCACAGAGAGGAAGAGGGAGTAGTCCGAGTTGAAGGAGGAACGAGAGGAGAACGTTCCAAGAAGGTAGAAGTGATCGAGAGTATGAGACGCCAGGGAGTAACCCACTGCCATTAGATTGCTCCTGGAGCAAGCAAGGTCAGTGGAGAGACGAGGCTGGAGGATGAGGTGCAGATGGCACAGGAATGGCTGAAAGGCTGGGAAGTTGTGGACAGCTCTTAAGAAACTTGACTAAGAAGGGAAAGAAAGATGGGCCCATAGCTGGAGAGAGACATTGGGTTTGGTTTGGTTTGGTTTTGGGTAGTGACAGCAAACACTTGAATTTACTTTTAAATTCAAGGGAATTGAGGGAAATGAGACTGTAGAAAGGAGAGGTTAGGAGGACTGTCGGTGGTGGAGCAGGTCCATGGGGAGAGAAGAATGAATGAGAGCCGGAGCACAGGGGAGGAGGAAGGATTCCTGCCCTCCTGGCCTAGAGCGCAGGGGAGTGACTGCGACTCTGGGTGAGAAGTGGCGGGCTGAGAGTGCATGGGGCTTATGCTTCCATTTTCCAGATGAGGTACAAGGGTAAGACTGAGGAGAGCAATGAACACTGGAAGAGCTGTTGAGAGAAAGGAAAGGGGAGGTTGAGATTAAGAGGGAGGAAGTTATACGTAATATGGGGAAGGGGTACTTAGAGGACACAAAAAACAAAAATTTATCCGTTGCACACTCTCTCTGTTCACCAAGCACTCTCTCAGGGTCCCCCGCCAGCCAGCTGGGTGGTTTCCAAACACCTCTGACCAAAGGGCTGGTGGAGCCAAAAGCAGCACCCTTTTTTTTTTTAAGATTTATTTATTTATTTTTAGAGAGAGAGAGGGTGCAGGGGGTGGGAGGGGCAGACAAAGAATCTCAGGCAGACTCCACACTGAGCACAGAGCCAGATGAGTGGTTCAACCTCATGGCCCTGAGATCATGACCTGAGCCAAAATCAAGAGTAGGCCATTTAACCAACTGAGCTTCCCAGGTGCCCCTGTCTTTTCTTCAGACCAGCATGCTTACTGTCTTCCAGGGTAGGAGAATAAAGGAAAAATTCCTTAGGAGAAGGACAATATCTCATGCCTGAAAGAGAATAGGACTTAGTCTGAGTGGGAATAAAGAGCTAAATTAGGCTAATGAGGTCTGGACCCCATTCCCAACCAGTGAAATGAGAATCTGGTGCTAACCACAGCCACTTCATCATTAACACAGACTCTACTGTGGGAAAGATGATCAAGATAAGGGCATAAACGGGTGGCTTCCACACATGGCCATACATTGGAATTGGCTGAGGAGCTTTAAAAAGTGATGAAGTGATCTCGCCCCACAGATTCTGATTTAATTGGACTAGCATGCAAGCAGAGTGTCTATATATTTAAAAACTGCATGTGGTTGAAAATCAAATGGGCTAAACTACCCCATGGTGGGGTTTATACAAGTCAGTGTTCTGTCTGAAGAATAAAAGGTTTCTTCTCTCTAGAATGAGAAATAATAAAGAATGAGGGTCTCTTGGAGGTCTTACACAAAACTCTTCATTATTCTTTTTCTCCATTTCTCTCTGCCATTTGATGCCAGCCATATGTAAGTTCTTTCCTAGAAACTTCTAGAAATCTATGGGTTTTTATCTAGTATTCTCTGTACTCTCAGGAAAATAGAGTCCCTTGACTTCCCTGGACTCCCCGAATGACGGTATTCATTCCCTATGATTCCAGTGTGTTCTCTTTACAAATACCCATCACAGTCATTCTCCAGTTACAGCGTGCCTGGTGCCCATCTGCTCTCTGTATGGGGCTGCTGTCACAACAGTGGAAGGTGTAGAAAGCATCGGCACCAGGATTCATCCCGTGCAGGTAAGAGCGTAATGGGACTGGAACCAGGTGCTGGTATAGGCATCCCACATAGTCTGTTGTACTCTCACCAACTTTGAAATCCTCTGTGCTTCTAAATTTTCATTTTGCCATAATCAGTGCTTCATGACTAAGGTTCTTTTTAGAGACTGGTGTGTAAATCAAGATTCCTTCTTCGGTTTTGATATATCTTTACTTCTCAGCCCCATCCTTCCCCTAAATTAAAACAAAGACACTTTATACTACTTAAAATTGATAGAAGCTACAAATTAGGTTTTCCCCAGAGATTCGGTTGCTAAACATTTACCATCACATTTACAGCCAGGTTTATATGCCACATCCGAAGCAACTTGCCATCTAGCAATAAATCCAACACATTACCCTCTAACATTAGAACAATATCTGTCCTTCCAGCTGAGCTACAGATGAAGTATTTGGCTTCCATCTTAGGGGTGAAACATTTGAAAAATGTTTACTTAAAAACCTGTGAAGCACACTCGAGCCAGCCAGTTGAGTACCCTGTGAGAGACACATAGAAAAGAAACACAAGAGGGACCCAAAGAGTCATGTTCCCCACCTATTTTTATTGTTTTGTTGTTGTTTAAATGCATTAAAGTTAAATGTGCATGAATTAAATATATGAATGGTCTAATACTACTAAGTTACGCTTTACAATTTTCAAAGCTTTTGTATAGATTTTCTCATTTAGTCCATCAAAAATTCTATAATATAGATAGAGAAGGGGATGAAAATGACTTGCCAGAGACTAAGTGATTTGCATATACTCGTTCATTTATTCTCACAACCATCCTGTAGGGTAGATATCATTATTATTCAAATTTTAAAGATGAAGAAAAGTCAAGTAAATCACCAAGGCACACAGTTAATGAGGTATAATAGGGACTAAAACTCACAGGAGTGGGACTCCAAAGCATTTTACTTGTGCCCTAAGCTACATTTCTTATTTCACAGATGAAGAAATCAGTCTAGAGACTAAAGTCAATTAATACCTGCCACGAGGCTTTTCTATTGAGAGGAGAAAAAAAAAAGGCTTTTAAAAATAGAAATATTTCAAGAAATAGAAATATTTTTCTTCCAGAGTGACATCTTTTACCCTGCACTCATTTCTGGAAAGCTAAATAAATAAGCTGCACTCCTTTCTAGTGTCCAGGGTAGGGAAACAAGAGGTTTGAAGCATAAATAGTGTACTGTTTCCACCCAGGAAAGACTTGCCAAGTGTCATGGCACACAGTGTGGCTTCTGCAGCCCGGGGATGGTGATGTCCATCTACACACTGCTGAGGAACCACCCAGAGCCAACCCTGGAGCAGATAACCAAAGCTCTTGGAGGTGAGCCTTCTTAGTCCTCTGTAGGCAGGGCCTAGGGTGGGAAGTGCCCAAGTAACTAGGAAAGGAAATCCCAGCCCATGGAGAGACATCGTGGCACACTTTGAGGTTCCAGGCACCCGGCTAACATGAGGCCCTCTTTAGTACCTTTAATACTTTCCAGGAAGTATTGCCTTCCTTTTGTGAGCAGTGATGCCAAGAACTGGGGCAATATTGATTTCATTATAAATCTTTCTCCCTTAATGGATCCCAGTGTCCCCCTACAAAGCATTCAAATAGGCTCTTCTAACACTTATAATACTATCTTTTCCCAGTGTGGAAATTTGGGTAGTGTGGAAGAATGAGGTTTTGTGTTTATTTTTAAATTAATCTGCTGGAATCATTCGTTAACTCTACTTTCTACAGAGGATAGACTTTCAGACGCTTTACTCTTTATGTTCTGGTTGGATTAGGAAGTCATGGGCAGCAACTAGTTATCACAGATAAACTTAGTGAGAAATTCAGTCTTCTAAAATGAAATAACTATCAAGTTTAATGGATAAACACAATTTTCTACAAAAACAAAACAAAAGCATGTAAACAAATGTAGTTTTCTATAACAAACATACCCGCTTTCAAGGTAACTGGCCCCTAGTTCTTAGAAGAAATCTGTGAAAGTAAACCTCTAAATATTATAAGAAAGCTTTTTGTCCCTTTCAGTAAACAGACCTAGACAGAAATTCAGTATTATGATGAAAAGATGTAGACTAAAACAAAGGGATGCAACTTAAATTTTATGGTAAGTGGCATATAAAATTTCTTTAATATTTTCCCTTGTTTCTCAACAACTTCTTCACTCAAAATTTTTCAGTTTCTTATAAAGTACTACTAAAACTTTGGCCTATGGTTTCAATTATAATTTTAACCCAACATGAATGGATAATCTTTATTCAATGAAATAATCCACACTAAAAGGTGTGTCAGTGTTTAAACCTACCCAATCCACACATTTATATTGCTTCTGAAATTGTTAAACTGCATCTGAACATAATCATTTTAAATTAATTTTTACTATAAAAACAACACATTCCTATTATGAAAAATGCAAAAAAAAATTAAAAGGGAAAAAACTCATATTTCTGCCCTCAGAAAACCACCACAGATACTTCTGTTTCCTTTCAGTCTTTTCTGTGCATAGTTTTTTTCTTATTTTAAATACTGTAGCTACTGTATATATGATTTTATATTGTATAAACAATTTTAACAGAATAACATAAGAATTTTTTCATTTTATTAAAACCTCTTCATAAATATCATTTCTACTGGCTACAAAATTTGAATATACTTTGTAAAAAGACAGTCATTTCCTTATCTTTTCCACCATGCTTTGGAAATATTGACTGATTAAAACAATACTAAGTACTTATTGAACACCCATTGTGCTGTACTGGGAGGGTTCATGAAATCTAAGACACTCCTCTCCTTTTCCAGGAATGTTAAGTTCCATTGAGGGAGATGAAGCATATACATAAATGACCCTACTCTAGCACAGTTGATAATAGGCCTGCAAAAGGATCCAGATAGTGAGTGGTACAGCTCTGGCTGGGGATTAGAGCAGACGCCATGGAAGAGGGGGCTGGGGCCCTGCAAATGGACATATTCTCCCTAAGAGAACACGTAAGAAAGAAAAGACTGTGTAAGAAAAGCTTAACAAAGAGACACATGAGATGTTATGGGAGTGGCAGGGTTACATGAGTTAGGACGGGTGGGAAATAAGGCAGGAAGAGTTGATTGGAAAAATTATGGAGAGCTTTGTGATATTTCAGGAAGAAAATGTAATCACAAGATTTTTTTGAAGAACATTGCTGTTTCCAAAAGAAACAATAAAAGAATCTAATTACAAACAGAGCTATTTCACTGAAAAAATGAAGCACAAATAAGGAATATATTTCATTACTATTCCTTAAAAATTGATCTTTTTTTTAAAGATTTTATTTATTTATTTGAGAGAGCGAGCACAAGCCAGGGGGAGGGGTGGAAGGAGAGGGAGAAGCAGGCCCCAGGATCATGACCTGAGCCAAAGACAGACGCTTAACTGACTGAGCCACCCAGGTGCCCCAAAATTGATCTCTTCTTCATCAGGTAATTTGTGCTGCTGTACTGGATACCGACCAATTGTAGAAAGTGGAAAAACTTTCTGTGCGGTAAGTTAAAATAAAAAATTTTTTTCAGTTGATTTAATATATTAACATTTGCATAAAATCATCCTATTGCATTCAGTTATTTCTAAAATACCCTCATGTTGACCTTTCTGACATTGAAAGTTGTTGAATGCCACTGTTGGTATTTTTTAAATAAACCTTTAGCATATATCTTATTTATAGTCCTAAATTAGGCACTTTCCTAAGAAGTAAAATATATGGTACATGACTTCAAGAAATGCAAACTCTATTGAACTCTATTCCTTAGTCTATACTATTTTAGACTAGTAGACTAAGACTATAGACTTTTTAAAGAAAAAATATATATACTAAGAAATAATAAAGACAATTAAAAAGCAAGATATTAAAAGTTCAATATATCCTCTATACCGTGTATATCAGTTTTGAAGGAACATGAATTAAAGAGAATTAATCAGTGGGAAGGGAAGACACAAAGGAAACATTGGAGAAGGGGAGCTTTGAGCTAGGTCTTAAAAGAAGTGATAGGAATGAGTGGGTGAAGAGAGGCCAGCAGAAAATTCCAAGTAAGAAAATGCATTGAAGTAGGAAAAAGATGTCCAAGGTTCAACTAGGAAACTGATGTAGCTAAAGCACTAGGGAGCAAAAAGATATTATTCTGGGCTAAGGAGTTTAGACTTAAAGGTGGTAACCAACATATAGTCATTGTCTCTTCTCAAGCTAGGAGTAACATGGGAACAGTATTTCAAAGGGAAATTTCTTGGCACCTGCTAGTAAGAAGGATAAGCCTGAAAAGGGATGAGGGCATGACTAGTGCAGTCCTCCATGAATGAGGGAATGAGGACCTAGAGCAGTGTGGTAGATACGGACCCAACAAGATAACTTTCAGGGAGGGGATTGCCAGAATCATAACCTCCAGACAATAAAGGATACAGTTAAGAAGAAATCCAAGTCATCCTCAAAGTTAAGAGATTAAGGAACCAGACAGGATGAAGGAAGTTTGTAAAGAATGATTTAGTCTATGGCACAAGGTGGGGGAGGCTGTAGTTTTGAGATATATTAAGTTTTCAGAACGTTAAATATCAATGAGGTTTCAGTTAGGATGGATTTCTAGTACCCATTTTTTATGGTAAAATTAATTTTATATAATTTTGGTTGACCAAAACCAATTCAAGTTACACAAGTTAATTCCAAATACCAAAAAGTCTTTGAAAAAAAATCTACTCTTAGGCCAGTAATGAATCCGAAAAGCTTTATAAACCACAGCTATTTTGAAATCCTGGGTAAGAGACCATTCATTTTGAAACATATGAATAGTCAGTTTTCCACCATTTTGACTCACAAAAACAGCAACTTCATATGATTCAAGATTCAACCTAATGCTACATGATTATTTTCTTGGAGACCAAATCTACCTATGAAAAGATAGATATTTTTATCTCACTCACTTGGGTCCCCACATTCAGCTATTTGTCATTCGTTCCTTTATTGTGAACAGCATTGTCACAAAATCCAAATCCCTTCTTAAGTCTATAGAAAATTCCTTACAGGTAAAAATATCAACCACCACTTCTGCAGCACTTCCTATGTGTCAGATACTGTGCTTACCATTTGCATATTTAAATTGAACAGACCTGTTTGGGAGGGATTTTATTTTCCTAATTTAACAAACTCAACCCAGTTACTATGTGTTAAAGCAGGAACTAGAACCCAGGACTCCTTGAATCCATGTACAAAGTCAAACCATAGGTCTCCAAAGCACCCCAAAGCCTTGGGTTGTGTCTACACATGAAAAGGACAAACAAGAATGAAAACAATTAGCTAGAGTTGCAGTAACTGACCAGGGCATTCAGGCCAAAACCACTAGTTGGGGTCTGCATGAAGTGTCCTGAAAATAAGGTAAAATAGTTTGGGACTTGAATCACCCAAATAATTCAGAATAGTTCCAATAACACCCAAATAAAACTCAGGTTTTCAGTTTATTTTTCTTTGTGTATAGTAAGTCTTAAAAGCAGTTTGCCTTCCCAGGACTTTGTTAAAGATACATGCTGTATCACTCTTAGGATAAAGAAAAGCCATCTTTTTTGGTTTTTTTGATGATCTCCTTGTTAACTACTCCATTTACCTCACCCTAGTGGAAGCCTTAGCTGGCTGACCCCACCTCCTCTGACCTCCTTCATGATCCCCTGGGATTTGAGTGACACATTAACAAGACCCTATCATAGCATGGTTACACACTCCCTGTAATTTTCCCTAATTGTTCAGTGATGACTGGCTTGTTCTCTGCTCCACCCCATTACAGAGCTCTTGAAGGCAAGGACATGCTCTGTTACTTCTTCCATCACTCCTGTGGGGCCTGGGGACTGCAAGTACTCGGGTTGATGTTTTAAGAACTGACCAATGAATTTATTTTAAATTCTTACATTACTTCCTAAGGAATCAACTGTCTGTGGACTGAAAGGATCAGGAAAATGTTGCATGGATCAAGAAGAGAGGTCTTTTGTAAATAGACAGGAAAAAGTAAGTATCTGGTGTTCTCCTTCAGCTGGGATTGACTGAAAAATACCCACATAAATGCAAATGTATTCATTTCCTGTTTTTCCAGTGAGTAAAGTAAAAGGAAGTGAATTCAGGAAGTAAAGAGTCTTAAAATGCTTCAAAAATTAGCAGGCCCATGACTTCCATGAGGCCAATCACCACAGAAGCATTTTCCTTCAGAAGCTTTACAATTTTCTGTGCCTTATTCTGGTTTACCACCACCCTTCCCCTCAACAAGTACTATGAGAGATGTAAGCAGTGCATCTTCATGCTCATGGCAAATAAATATCTGTTAATAATACCTGAGACCCAGCACAGAAGCTTAAAACCTAATTCCTGATGCCAAATGAGGAAGCCCAGAGTCCAGTAAATCTGCCCAGGAAACCATTACAGTCCTCTAAGAGTGGGAACAATTCCACTCAGGGATACTCTGTGACTTTGGCACCTCCATTTTGTGTCCGGGGTGTCAGAGGTATGGTCCTGACTCTGAAGTCTCACACTTAGAAATTCCTGTACATCTTTCAGTAACTCTGAAGTTCTATTTGTATTTTGTTTTGTTTTTGTTGAGATGTGTACCAAACTGTATAATGAAGATGAATTCCAGCCCTTGGATCCATCCCAGGAACCTATATTCCCTCCTGAACTAATAGTAAGATGCTTTACTTTTGTTGTTTCATAACATGACCGTGGTACAAGCCTTTTTGCAGTATGCTCTGGAATTACTGAGTTTTAGACATTAGAATTTGGAAGTGTGTCCAGTGTGATAACCCACGTTATGAGTTTGTTCGGTTCCACTATAAATAATTTCAAGCAGATAGCTTAGAAGAGTGGTACTGCCAGGACCTCAGACATGCTTTGGTTCACGCCTTCAGTCAAAGATCCTGAGCTCAGAGAGTATAGGTAACTTATTCAAGGTCACACATTTACACTGTGAGATATGTTAAAGATATTTTGTAAAATGATATTTATTATAATGGAATTACATTATTCTTACTATTAGTTTCTGTGATTTCAACTCAGTGGGAAGAAATAGAATAATATAAATAGTGTGTATGTTCATCATTGCATTCCATGACTATGCTCAGAAGAGAACATGAGATGGGGGATATGATTCTACTGGCTTCCCAGAGGGTCACAGTCCCCACACACCCCTCAGAGTGTGAGAACTTGGACTCACTATTTAAAGAATATACACACACGTGTGACATATATATGTGTGTATAGAGAGAGTTGTAAAAAAAAACAAAACAATTTACACTATACCTGGTGAATGATTTAAGAGATTTTTCAAGGATAATTTTGCCTATAAGCAAATTTTGTCATACCGAAACACCGAATCCCCAAAAATGAGGCCCCTTTGAGTCACTGTTAGGGCAGACCTAGAACAAGAAGCCTGGCCCTTTAACTAAGACACTTTCATTTTCATTTCCCATGATGCCTCCTCTTCAGACACTCACTTCACAAATATAGGTAGAGTTTGCTCTACTCCATACGCAGTTGTTGATGGAGAGATACCTATTATGATGTTTATTCAGTGGTGCCCACATGGATCTTATCAATCTAGTAGTTTCAAACAGGCCATCCTTTCCTGATCAATACAAGGTAGGTCACCTCAGAAACCTAAAATGACCCATCAGGCCATTTGGACAACCAGAGCAGTGGATATACTCATGGCATGTAGCTCAGCAGCCTTACTCAAAAGCCTGTTGGATTTGTTTCTCTGCAGAGAATGGCAGATCCAAACAAGAGAAGGCTGACATTCCAAGGGGAGAGAACCACCTGGATTGCCCCTGTGACCCTCAGTGACCTTCTGGAGCTGAAAGCCAATTTCCCTGAGGCCCCCCTCATCATGGGGAACACTGCAGTGGGTGGGTGGTTTTTAAGCATGTTCCTTAGTCTAGCTTAGGTATATAACCTAGACATCTGTCTCTCTTTTTAAACTCTTCAGAAATGCAGTTCATTTTCATTAATAGATACCTATGGTCCTTTAGAATGCTACATTGTTTTCTTTTGCAAATGGTGTTGTTTGTGTCACAATTTTCACTCTAGATTATCAGTGAGCAACATCTGTTAGCACCCATTGACTTCCTTTTCTAATTACTTTAAATGCTTTTCTCCTTAAGGACCCAGCATTAAATTCAGAGATGAATTCCATCCAGTTTTCATATCTCCACTTGGGCTTCCAGAACTATATTTTGTGGACTACACAGATGATGGTATGAACCTTCTTTTTCCTTGACTGTTGATAGGCTATGAGTAATTATATGCACTGGGCTTATTTGAGCACTTCATAGAATATCCGACCTCATTTATTCATTCAGAAATATTTATTGAGCATCTACTATGTGTCCTCTATGAGCTTTATCAAAGTGAATTATTTCAGCTATGCCACTGAGTACTACATGGTCCTAGGAGCCATAATGGTGGGAAGATGCCATGTTGGTTGTCCAGATATGGAGAGATTGACTGAATAAGGAGACTTAAGACATTGGCTGACCTGTAGGAAAGGTTCTTACCAGTTATTAGTGCCTGATTCATAAGTTTGCTCAAGGCTCAGCTTATACCCACACATATTCAAAAAAAAATTCTGGGACACAAAATTTGAAAATTTAATTGTAACTATCTTATTTATTTTTATAGTCTTTTCACAATTTACCAAATGCTTTCACATCTCTTGTTTCTTTTAATCCTCATGACAGTCCTGGAAGGCCGAGATAGCAGGTGGTAGCCTTTGTATCTCCTTTCTCCTAAAGAAGATAAAAAATCAAACTTAAGTAAATTTCCCAGCTTCACACAGCTAACACATGATCAAATCAGGACTAGACTCCAGGGTTTCTTACTTCTAGTCAAGTTCTCCTTCCACATAATGCACTGAATAAGACTGAGAAACATATCCAAACTCAGCATTTGAATAGATAACAGGGTATAGGAGATAAAAATTCTTTTTTTTTTTTAAAGATTTTGTTTATTTGACAGAGAGAGACACAGCGAGAGAGGGAACACAAGCAGGGGGAGTGGGAGAGGGAGAAGCAGGCTTCCCGCGGAGCAGGGAGCCCGATGCGGGGCTCAATCTCAGGGTCCTGCGATCATGACTTGAGCAGAAGGCAGACGCTCAACAACTGAGCCACCCAGGCGCCACCTAGGAGATAAAAATTCTACTTTAAAATAAGGTTCTCCCCAATGAGTAAATAGAAATCAAATGAGAAATTATCTGCTTTCCCCTCTGATCTGCTTGCTAATTTAAGTCAATCTGCCTATTCACTTTTTTTTTTTTTTTTACCTGTTAGAATGTTCAGATCAGTGGACTCATAGGAAGAAATGGGGCAAGGGGAGGCCAGGCTGACAGAGGAGAGGGTTGGAAGTAAGGTGTTGGAGGTACTTGGTGAGGGTGGGGTGGGAGTGAAGGGACAGGGGAGGGAGAGCCTATAACACTAAGTCCATGTTTCCCAACCTTTTCGTTATTGCCTCACCAGGGAGCAATAGACATTTTCCCCCTAATCATCCCTCCACGAAGTTTTAACACCATAGATAGACCATATATCTGTTTATGTACAGTATGTATATCAGGGCTTTATACATCAAAAGAGTAAGATTTTCTTCACCCCCTTTGGGCTGGTATTACCTTCCTTGAGAATGTATGAACTAGATGACATCACTACTCAAAGCATTCCCTGAAAGCACACTTTCAAGCAAAACTGACCCAAAGTACAGACAAGTGTCTATTCTTGTTGTTCTGTTAAGGGAACAATATGAAGAGATGGCTGTAGAAGAAGGGCAAATGGGCAATGCGTATGTGTAGGTCATTAGACTTAATGATCTTTTAAAAGTCTTATAGAATCAGGGCGCTTTGGGTGGCTCAGTTGAGCATTGACTCTGGGTGTTGCCTCAGGTCATGATCTCAGTGTCTTGGGATCAAGCCCCACATGGGACTCTGTGCTCAGCTCAGAGTCTGCTGGAGATTCTCTCTCTTTTCCTCTCCCTCTGCTCCTCTCGCTGCTCGCTCGCTCTCTCTTTCTAAAATGAATAAATAAAATCTTAAAAAAATAAAAACACAAAAGTCTTACAGAATCTTAACTGAAATTTTTATATTTGATCAATTTATTCAGGAAAACACTAAATTGGGAATTAACAAAGTAATGAGTTTCAGATATCTGTGGTTGGTATGTCCTGAAATGTATGGCACATATGATTGTATACATGACTGAGAAAAAAAATTTGGTACTTAATATTTGGGAATAAAGCAAATTGCCAGAAATATCTTTACCTTTCATTTTTCTAAGTTAATATAAAAAGAGAAGATATACTTGAAAGATTATTTCTGTGCAGTCTATACATCTTGTTATAATTCACCTTCAGTTTATATCCCACTGTCTTATTTTCAGGAGTGACAATAGGTGCAGGTTGCATCCTGGCCCAGTTGAATGATGCCTTATATCTTACTGTTTTGGAGCAACCAAAGGAGAAGACTAAGACTTACTGTGCTCTCCTGAAGCATCTGAGGACACTTGCTGGAGCTCAGATAAGGAATATGGCGGTATGCACCCTAGTGTGATATGAAAGAAGCCACAGTTATAGACAGTCACACAGTGTGTTCAGTTTAGCAAACATTACTCTGAAGAGGAATCCCCAGTCAGTGTCGAACAAGTCCCTACAATGTAAGTGTGAGTGTGTGTATCTGCCCAAAGTGAGAGTTACCACACTGCATGTATGTGTGTGTCTTAAGTGAGAAATGGCATATTATATCACAAGATTATGGTACTGGAGTCTGAAGATACCAAATTCTAAACCCAGCCTCTCACCCATGAATGGTATGATCCTGGAGAAGCCATTTGAACTCTTTAAGCCACTATTTTTTTCATTTTAAGAGTTAAAGTTCCGGGGCGCCTGGGTGGCTCAGTTGGTTAAGCGACTGCCTTCGGCTCAGGTCATGATCCTGGAGTCCCGGGATCGAGTCCCGCATCTGGCTCCCTGCTCAGCAGGGAGTCTGCTTCTCCCTCTGACCCTCCCCCCTCTCATGCTCTCTCTCTCTATCTCATTCTCTCTCTCAAATAAATAAATAAAATCTTAAAAAGAAAAGTTAAAGTTCAACCAAATGGACTGTCCAGCTCTAACAGGCTATGAAATATGTCTTATCCAAGGTAGAGTAAGAAGAGCCTACATCTTGAAAATACTCTTTTATGGCTGTTTCTTGTCTTAAACCTTTGCACTGAGCTCAGTGTCTTAACATGTGCATCCCACATATCTATTCTTTGATGCCCCCCAGTTGTCTAGCTTATTGAGGTTTCCTTATTATTTAAGATTTAAGAGTAATTGGTTTGGACCACTGCCCATTCCACATATGATGGGTAGTTCAATGGGACTTTGGTGGGGGGCATTTCTCCTGATTGTCTCTGCCCTTATTTCTGTTGGTTCTCAAAATTCACGATGTGTTTCCACCTTCTGCATCTTCTGTTTCTTTTTTGGACCAGGTTATTCCTCTCAACATCACCCCTTGCCCACCATCCCCTCAAAGTTTCTCATTCAAATCTATGTCTGAAGCAACTTTATTGATGGTTTGGAGTAACAGAGACGAATTCTACCCCACAGCAGTACAGCAAGCATTTTGAATGAGAATGCTACATATTCCAGTTCTTTAGAGTTTGCTCAGAGTCTAGCCCCCACTCCCCGCCCCCATGTTATTGGACACTCATACTAGGGTCAGCTCTCAAAGAAATTTTCTTCCTCTTTGCACATAGAAAAAGAACATTTTCTCAAGCAATAAGTTTGAACTGGGGTCAGGGGTGGGAATCTTGCACAATATGTGGCCTGACTCTATTTAGTTGCCCTAAAACCAGCACCAGATCATTCTATGAAACAAGAGAATTAAAAAATTAAAACTTACACAAGATCCCTGTGCACATAATTCCTTATTTGTCAAATAACTAGCTTAAAAATGTTATCTTTTTTTATTTAGACTTTAGGAGGACATGTGGTGAGCAGACCTAATTTTTCTGACCTAAATCCCATTTTAGCAGCAGGAAATGCTACCATCAATCTGATATTTAAAGGTAAGAGATAAGCTTTAGGCATTCTGTTTTATAATTATCACTGTCAGTTATGTAGCTCCTTTGATAAACCATGAATTAGGAACCCAAGTATATCTAACTTAGACTCACCAAATATATAGGCTATATCTAGATTACCTCTAATGTAAGGATGAAACTGAGATCAATTATCCTGTTCTCAGATGTTCTATATCTTGTAGATCAGATAAGTTACTGCACCTGAGAATTTTTCTTAACTATTTGGCCACATTTATATACAGTCCAAATTATAGTATCAAAGTATTTTTTAAATGAGATGTATATCTGCAGTTTTAAAGCTTTATAGCACATTTCATTTCAAAGTTTTATAAAGATGGAAATTTTTCTTACAGGATTTTTCATTCTTTTTTTTTAAGACTTTATTTTGAAGTAATCTTATATACAATGTGTGGCTCAAACTCACAACCCCAAGATAAAGAGTCACATGTCTACCAAATGAGCCAGCAAGGCACCCCTAGGACTTTTCATTCTAAACAAAATCAAGTTTGTGGGGCATATTACTCATTACTTCTCTCTTTATTCAGAGACAGCTTGAGCTTTGCCAAGGGAAAATTATTTAAACTTAGTGAAATAACAATAAATGCATATTATTCATAGAGCTATTGATGTAAGATACCCCCTCTTTGATTAAAATCACATCTTTAGGGGCATCTAGGTGACTCAGTCAGTGGAGCATCCAGCTCTTGATTTCAGCTCAGGTCATGATCGCAGGATCATGGGATTGAACCCTGCTTCAGGCTCTGCACTGAGCAGGGAGCCTGCTTGGGTTTCTCTCTCTCCCTCTCCCCCCCAGCTCACATGCATGCTCGCTCTCCCTCTCTCTCAAAAAAGAAAAAAGAAAAGGAAAGAAGGAAAGTAAAGGAAAAAATCACATTTTAAAAAGTACAGTGGATCAAATAAGAGTATTGTAAACTGTTTAAGAAAAAAAAAAGCTATATATCAGGCATTTCACCTCTGCCACTTGTCCCATCTCTAGCACTTTGAACAGATCATTTAACCTCTCTGGATCTCTGGGCCTCAGTTTTCCCACTTGTGAAACACATTGTACTATGTTGTTTCCAAATAGCTTTAAAGTTCTTCAAGGCCAAAATTTGCGAGTGGTGTATAATGGGTGCTAAGAACCAGAAAAGACTTTTCTTTTCTTTTTAGATTTTGTTTATTTATTTGAGAGAGAAACAGAGAGAGCAAGCATGAGTGGGGTTAGAGACAGAGGGAAAAGGAGAATCAGACTCCCTGCTGAGGGGGGAGCCCAACACCGGGCACGATCCCAGGACCCCAAGAGAATGACCTGAGCCAAAAGCAGACGCTTAACCAACTGAGCCACCCAGGCACCCCCAGAAAAGACTTTTCAGATTATCTGGTCCAGCCCTGTCGTTCTACAGATGAGGAACCAGAAGCCCCAAAAGGGTCTGTGACTTGCCTAAGGTGACCCAGGTTGGACGCTGAAACCAGAAACCACATCTTCTGGCTTCCAGCCTGCACTCTCTCTTTCCACCAGATGCATCACACCTATCCCTTGCTGCGTATTCTCCTGTTCGATAAATTCATTCTAATCAAGGTCATTTTCTCTAATAGAAGGAGAACAGCAGATTCCTTTAAATGGCCATTTCCTTGAGAGATCACCTGAGGCCAGCCTTAAATCAGAAGAGATTGTGTTATCTGTGTATATTCCCCACTCTACTCAGGTAAAGGCTTCCTGGCTCATTGCCCACCCAGAGGGAACTCAGCTTACCCTGCAGGGAGACTTTGGGGCTGCTCTTAGGAAGGGGCAAATTCTCAGAGGACCATCTGATTTGCTTTCATAACAGGGCAACATTGTGACTTTCCTGGACCCTAGACACTTTTGACTTTGTGGCTCCCTTCCTCCATAAAAAGTAAAATAAAATTTAAAAAAATATGACTTTTTTGTATAAAGATGAAAATAACCCAAATATCATTCAGTGTTATATACTCATTATTATTATATTCATTTTTTCTTTTGTTTTTAAAAGAACTTTAAAGGAAAAAATTTCTTGATATTCTAAGAATGTTGTAGAGTGATAGATGGGAGCTACACTTGTGGTGAGCACAGTATAAAGTATAGAGATGTTGAATCACTATGTTGTACCCCTGCAACTAATGTAACATTGTGTGTCAACTATACTGAAATAAATTTTTTTAAAAAAAAAAGAATAACATTTCTGTGGGCCCTATCTCTCTGCAAACAGAGAGCCCTTTGTGTGAGGAGTTGAATTTTTCATTTCAGATAAATACTCATCTTAGCCAAGATTGAGTAAATTTATAATCAGTTTCATCTACAGCAAGTTAAAGTTCATGATCATAAAGATACTTCCAAATCAACTAACATTTATTAATCACTTTAAATAAAATTATTTATGTATTAACTACCTACCACTCGACATGCCAAGCACGGTGCTGAATCCAGAAGACACTCCATGTATTCATAAGACATGGGTTCCTGTCCTCAAAGGTCTCTAGATCTGAGAGGAAGGGCTTGAAATTGGAAATGGCTAATCATCTCAGACAGGGAATAGGTGCACAAAGAGCCAGGGCAGTTTCAGTGACAGGAAGAAGCCCTCCTTTGGTGTTGCTCAAAAGGGACGGAAAGCAGCTGGGATAGAGCAAAGATCAGTAGAGAGAAGTGGGTGCTCATTCCAGGCGGGAGAACAGCTTGGGGGCGGGGGCTAGGTGGAATGGCAGGTTGGAGGCCAGACAACAGGGCAAAGGGGCTGGGGCAGCCCTGTGAGATGTGGCTGGGAGGGAGGCTGGGGCTCCATCACCAAGCAGATCTAATGTTCCATCAAGGAGTTGGTTTGCACATGTCCTAGCAGATAGCCATCTTTGAAGGCTTTAAAGCAAGGTAAAATCTTAATGAGAATGGTATTTTAGGAATGCCAATCTAAAATAGAGGATAAGCTGGTTGGAGGAGAAACTGAAGGTTGAATGGCTAGTTAAGAGGCTAACGCAGTCATGCTGTAATTCAGGTGGGTGAGCATGAGGGTGGTGGCAACAGGAATAGGGAGGAAAGTCCCCACCAGTCAGTACAGTGGACTAAATAGGATCAAGTGTGTCTCAAGCATCTCTTTATCACTTTTGCTTTCTAAATCAAAAGTGTTTTATCTTTGGCAGGGTCCATAGTGGCACCCCTACCCCCACCAAGACACTGGCCACACAAAGAGGTTCCCCTACTTCGTGGCTCTAATATTTCATAGTAGTAATGAGATTAAACCTAGAATGAGAGATTGAAATCTGGAAGGCACTTTGAAGACCATGTGATCCAGTGGTTTCGAACCTTTTTTTTTTAAGAGTAAAACTCTTCATTCACATGAAACTTACGTAGAATGCCAAACTAAAACAGTTAAAAGTGGAGGTGTTGTAGTTCATCCTGAGAGGCACCACACCTCCTGATTTTCCCTTACCCCTTTCAACAGCCCTGGAGGCACCATCTGATCAAACCCAACCTTCTCATTTTTAAAGAAAATTAAGACCCAGACAGTTCAAATCACTTGCCTGAGGCCACATGTGGTGACTCAGATTTGAAAGTAGGTGACCATCAACTCTGGAGCCAGACTGCTTAGATTTCAACCCCAATTCTGCCACTTACTCTATGACCTTGTACACATTACATAACCTCTCAGTTTCCTCATCAGTAAATTAGAAATAAGGACAGTTGCTCTGAGGATAAAATATTAATACTTGTAAAGCATGTGAGCCAGTACTCACAGCCACCACTGTGGTCAAAAGCATTGTTTACAGGATCCTTTTCAATATAGCTGTTCATCAGAGTTGTTGCTATACAGCAGACAATGGAGAAGAACACTAAATATCCTGAGTGTTTTTCGGTTTTCAGGACTCCGGCTGGCCCAACGTCAGGAGAATGCCTTTGCCATTGTCAATGCCGGCATGAGTGTGAAGTTTGAAGATGGTACAGACACGATTAAGGACCTTAAAATGTTCTACGGAAGCGTTGGCCCCACTGTTGTCTCTGCAAGCCAAACGTGCAAGCAGCTCATTGGGAGGTATGTCGCAGCACATCTGGATATGAAACTCAGGACTTTGTATTTTAATATTTTAATGAAAATAGCACTTGGAGAATTTTTTTCTGATTACATACATATTACATAATCATATAGGAAATTTAAGCACTGCAGAAGAATTTTAAAGAAAAAGTCACCCAAAAGCCAACCTTTTTCAAGATACAATTCTTTTATTGCAGTTTCTATAATAAGATGAATGTACAAATTAATCTGAGTAGATAATATCATCAAATTTTCATTTTTAATTAACCTGCAAAATAAGTAAATGTTTCTAATACTGTACCCTAAGACATCTGAAAATGTCCTTAGACCAGAGAAAGAAGATGAAATAGTCTAAAAGTTTAAATGGCCTTCCTCCTATCACTCTCATTGCTTCTAGTGTTTGGAAAGTTAAGTTTTTAAAAATTCTTCCCACCAGTGCTTTTACAATAATTTTTATCTACCCAAAATATTCATTGTCAACCGTGCGATGCAACTTAATGCAGTTTTTTTTCTCAGATACTAAAATGAGTCAATGCTTTCGAAACATTTCTGTAGAAACTTTCATTTGTGAAAATGTTACAACTATCACCAATAATTGGGTCATTTGCTGGTCATTAGCCTGTCTGTGAGTGCCAGGCATGGCCTTTTTGCTGGCGATGCAGCAATGATGAACAAGACAAAGTTCCAGATCTTGGGAAACTCTGACTTTAGTACTTTGTTACCCCAGCTCTCTGAGCTAAAGTCAACATTCCCAGGCCATGGAGTTACAGATAATAATAAAGGAGGATGGTAAGGAAATCGGAAACCACTGCAGCAGATTCTAAAGAAAGCTAGTGATATATCAGAGGGTATTTTGTACAGACTTCAAAAATGAATACAGATTTTCTCCTTCTTCCCTTGCTCTGTCAGTTTAGTCTGCCTTCCCCTCTCCTGTGACGTGTTTACATTCTTTTCTTTTTCATTTTTTTAATTTTATAACTACATTTTTTTTTAATTTTTTAATTTTGCTACGAGGCCGTGGGATGACCACATGCTGAGTGATGCCTGCCGATGGGTCCTGGATGAGATTCACATTCCGCCAGCAGCTGAGGGTGGCATGGTAGGGTATAGGCGAACCCTCACCATCAGCTTACTCTTCAAATTCTACCTCAGAGTGAGGCGAGGACTGAATAAAATGGTAAGTGACTTCTCTGGGCCTCTGAGTGCCTTGACATTCTGAGCGTGAGTCTGCACATGAAGGACTTCCCCTTTCCTGCCCTACTGCAGCAAGGGTATCGGGAAGGGATGGAGCCGCAGCGTGGTGCTTCCCAGCCTCCTCTGTCCCTCTCCTGCCCTCTCCCTTCTCCTCCTCTCCTGGGCTGGGAAGGGGACAATCTTGCTATTACATTTGTCCTATAGGTTGTGTGACAATACTAATACACAATGTCAAGTTGATCTACAGGAATGAAAAGCTTTCAGTAATGAAATTATAACATCTTTTCCTATTTTAAAGAAAATTTTCTTGTTAAAACAATACCTTCTTTAATATTTAGAAAATGTGGATAAGCCAAAAAGGAAGAGAAAATCTTTTGTAATCCCATCACCTGTAGATAACTGTTACTAACATTTCAGTGTATATCCTTCTAAGCTCTTCTTTATGGATGTGTGTATATATATGTCACACATATATATCTATAGAACTGTTTAGCATAGCTTGCTTGTTTCACTTAGTAACAAACAGCTTTCAGTGTCATTAAATATTCTTCATGACAAAATGACATAATGGTTGCATGATGTGTCTATGGATAACCATTATTTGATCTGTTCCTTATTTTTGGATATTTAGATTGCTTCTGGTTTTTTAACTGTTTTTTTTCTTACCTAGCCTAGTTTAAAATGACCTTCACAGGCAGTGTTTCTCAGAATATGGTCCATGACTATGAGTGTCCCCATGACAAGTCGTGAGCTGACCCAAAAATGGCAGATAAATGGCTACACACATTTCTTTTAAGGCTGAAAGCTTTACTCTATTAGTTCAGCCAGTCCCTTTTTATCATTTTTATTAACATTATTTATTAGTAGCATTATCATAATACTCTTTATAAATTATTGTATACACTTATTTATTACATATATTCAGTATATATGTATATAATCTGTGTATATCTAATGTTATTACATATAATTTATTAAATATATGTCTCTTGTTTTCTATTCTTATATATTATCATATGTTCTCTTACAGATTATGATTATATATTCTATCTTTATAGAAAATGCAAAAACAGAGAAGCAAAAATTTAAAAAATCAACTGTAAGCCAATAATCTTACCATAAAAACTGTTAACATTTGGAATACATACATATATATTTCTTTTTTCTTTTTTTAACAAGAAAAAGGGATCATACTGTACATAAATTTTTGTGATCCATTTTTTCACTTAATTATAATTCATGAGCATTTTTAATGTCTATAAATACACTCCTATAAAATTATTTTTAATATCTGCAAAATATTATATCTTATGGATGTTCCATAATTTGTTTAGTCAGTTCCCTCTTATTGGATATGTAGGTTAATTCTAGTTTCTTTACTATGACAAATGATCTGTAGCTGAACGTCCTCGTAGATTAATCTTCGTCTGCTCCCTCAGTTGCTTCTTTGAGGTATATGCCCAGAAGACTGGCCCGGACTTGAAAGCACAGCCTCTATTTGGAAGTGCACATATTTCCACCCGTTCGAAAGGAGAGCTGGTCATAAAGGAGGTCTCCACTTCCTAGAAATAGCATTCACTTTCCTGTTTGCATGAGCAGATATAGTCATGCTGCTGCTAGCCTAGGGAGCTCGAAGCTCAGGGCTCTCTCCCAGCAGATTTGGGAGAATAAATTGGATAACCTATTTCTTTTTTTTCTTTTTAAGATTTTATTTATTTGACAGAGAGAGACACAGTGAGAGAGGAAACACAAGCAGGGGGAGTGGGAGAGGGAGAACCAGGCTTCCCACGGAGCAGGGAGCCTGATGCAGGGCTTGATCCCAGGACTCTGGGATCATGACCTGAGCAGAAGGCAGACACTTAACGACTGAGCCACCCAGGCGCCCCGGATAACCTATTTCTCCATGTGTTTCTCCAAGCTAGTGACTCAGAATGTAAAGTTAAATGTGAAATGATATTCTTTTCAGGATCCCCACAAGTTTCCTGATATCCCAGAAAGGTTCATGAGTGCTCTAGAAGATTTCCCCATAAAAACACCCCAAGGAATTCAGATGTTCCAGGTCAGTGGGGAAAGTTTTTTATTTTTTAATCTTTCTGTGCATTCAGATGCATGCACTATGCATATATCTCCCTCTTTTCAATAGCTATATTTTTAATTATTTGTAAGGGCCATGTCTACCAAAGCCAGCCAACATTACCCATTGTCACTCACATACAATTTCACTATTTGCTTGGTTTAGCTTCCTTGCTTTTACTCCAGGCTTCATAAGGAATTAGATTCTAAATGTCCCTCCTCAACTATTTCAGTTTTGTTGCTTAAAATGTTCTCCTTTTCTTAGTGAATGCCTGTCCTTTCTTCAAAACCTAACTCTACATTCACTACTTCTAGGAAGCCTTCCTTGCTTTAATAAAGCCGTCCTAAATCCCCCAAGAACTTGTGTATTTTCTTTGCACCATATTAGCTGTATAAACTGTTCTTTATTGCTATATGAAGTTGATCATGTTATTTTAATGTGTGTTTGTGTGTATCATGATACCCTTACAAGCTTGTAGAATCTTTAACGATGAGAACAGTGTCTTCCTTTTGGAGAGGTGAGGGGTAGATTATAGCCAGAATATATCTCTTACCATGGTACTCAATGGACATTTATTAACTTTGACTCACAGATATGGATACCAACTGCCTATAATTTTCTTGACATGTGAGTAAGCCAGATATATCAGATCCAATTTTCAGTGCATGAGAATGTCTGGAAGTAAAATAACTGCTTTATTCATTGACAGTGTGTGGCTCCCTACCAATCCCTGCAAGACCCCGTCGGCCACCCAGTCATGCACCAATCAGCCATCAAACATGCCACAGGGGAGGCTGTATTTAGTGATGACATGCCCCCTATTGCCCAAGAACTCTTCCTGGCTGTAACCACCAGCACCAGAGCTCATGCAAAGATCATGTAAGGAAATAAAAGATGTTTCTTTTTATTACTGGAATGCATTCACAATTTCACATTAAAATTGAGAGCTTATGGGGCGCCTGGGTGGCTCAGTCGGTTAAGCATCTGCCTTCAGCTCAGATCATAATCCCAGGGTTCTAGGATCGAGCCCCGCATCGGGCTTCTTGCTCAGGGGGAGTCTGCCTCTCCCTCTCCCTCTGCCTGCCGCTCCCCCTGCTTGTGCTCTCTCTCTGCCAAATAAATAAATAAAATCTTTAAATAAGTAAGTAAATAAATAAATAAAATTGAGACCTTATTATATATTTAAATCAGCTAAGAATATTCATTTCCTCTTCTGAGTGGAAATCAGTCCTTTTTTAAGCAAATTATTGAAAGAAACTAATGCCAAGAGTCCAAACACCTGCTAAACATTGGCACTTTTCAACATAGAATTTGGTCCCATGATTTAGTTATGAGGTCCATTGTAGTTTTTCCCTGCATTTGAGGAATCATTTATATTGTACCCTGAACTCACCCCTGCAACTTTGATGTGCACTTTCGAATTTTCCCTCCCAGATCAATTGATGTTTCAGAAGCCCTGGCCCTTCCAGGTGTTGATGTGATAACAGCAGAGGATGTTCCAGGAGATAATAACCATCGAGGAGAGGTCTTCTATGCGCAGAATGAGGTGTATGATTTGTATGGGGCCTGTTATTCAAATGCTCATTTAGAAACACCAAAATGACTATTGTTTATGACTCTAGTATCTGTGGATTCATGTTCACGTCACAAAGACTTACAGAGAACCAAGGACTCCACATCAGTGATTCTCAAATTCTCTCTTGAATTGTGGACCCTTTTGAGACTCTGATCATAAGCCATAAGCCCTGTAAAGACGGCTTCTTAAAAAAAATTGTGAAAACCATAGAAGCAATATAGAGCATAGGACATTAAAAGAACCAACAGAATTTCAGGATGACTGGATTAAAGTGTGCAAAATGGGAATAGTGAGGAATGTACCTGAAGATAGTCAGAAGCCAGGTAATCAAATTCTGCACCCAGTTTTTGTACCCTCTAAATCCCACTCAGTCCAGTGTTTTAAATTTCTTCTCATAGGTAGGGGTGCCTGGGTGGCTCAGTCGTTAGGCATCTGCCTTCAGGTCAGGTCATGATCCCAGAGTCCTGGGATTGAGTCCCACATTGGGTGTGCAGGGAGCCTGGTTCTCCCACTCCCCCTGCTTGTGTTCCCTCTCTTGCTGTATCTCTCTCTGTCAAATAAATAAATAAAATCTTTAAAAAAAATTTATTCTCATAGGTAGAAAATAATCTTTCTTTTGGTCACAAGAACCCAGTGGGTAAATGTAAGAATGTGGGAACAGTTAATTCCTTTTTTAATGATTCTGTGTCTTAGCTAATGGTGACATGTGGCTTTTCTGCAGGTGATTTGCGTGGGTCAGATCGTCTGCACTGTGGCTGCTGACACCTCTGCTCATGCAAGAGAGGTGGCCAAAAAAGTGAAGATCACTTATGAAGACATAGAACCAAGGATTATCACAATAGAGGTAGTCAGGCCACTTCGTGTCTTCTAGAATGACTAGGGCGGTATACTTCTGGCAGAATTCAGCTGGTGGAGTCACAAAATAGTATAATCTGGGCTCCATCTATACTCAGTGTTATCTATAGTTTCAGAGTGAAGGCTCTAGCAGTCTGCACCTAGAGACATAATACTGAGAATTTCCCTGCTTGGATTTCCCCTTCCTTCTGGTGACCACTTCTCCCATTGTCTCTTGCTAAGGCATGTCCTCCGAATACAGATAAGTAACACCAGAGGAATGTCCTTATGACTTCATGTAAAACTAGCCAGTGGGCAAATCCAGAGCACTGTGGACTGAGAACAGTTGTAACACTTACTGAATTACAGCCTGGGTCCTCTGTCTCTGGCCCACTGCCTCCAAGCTCTGGAGACGGAAAACCCAGGTTTGTACCCTGACTCCATCTTTTGGAGGCCTCTTAATAGCAAGGAAATTTTGGCAAATTACTTAAATTCCTCATACTTTCTCAGCTGTAAAATGGGAACTATAAATGCACCTACAGAAAAGGTCATTGTGAGGGTTGGAGGAGAAAACCCAAGTAAAATGCCTAGAACAGCACCTGGGAAACATGGAATGCATGCAGTAAATATTTGCTATTATTTTTGTTTTAGTTGCTGTTATTAATGGGGGGATGGTGCTTTGTAGCCCCAGGGTTTGGCAAAGAGCTAAGCCCGTGTTCTGTCTTATTAAATGTGATGGAGGGAGAGAGAATAGGTGGGTACATGAGCAGTATGAAACCCAGCCAAGTAGGCTGCAGTCTTCAATATCCTCTGATTCGCCTCTGTTCTTCCCAAGAGTTGCCAAGTTCAAGTCTTTTCCAGTTATCTTTTAGATGCCTTTAAGTCTGCCCCTTTCTTTCCATCGCAGTTTCACCCCCATCACACCCTTTCCAGCCCAGACCTCACCATTTATTGTCAGACTTAACTACAGTTACCGCTTAAAGAGGCTCTTGTACTCCATGTCAACCTGTCTACCCACCACATTAACTTTTCTAAGCCTCAGTGTTCGTCAGGTAACTTTCCTTACACGGTCATGTCCCCCTCGAAAAGGTTCTTAGCATAGAATTCAAGGTCTTTCATAGTCCAGCCTCAGTTTACCGTTGAAGCTCATCCCGCTGCTTCTCGATAGAAAACCTGCTCCCCAGCCAGCCTGACCTTGTTCTCTTTTTGGCTCCTCAGCTTGAGTCCAACCTCAAACTATTGCTTTCTGAGGTGCCCTTGACTTCAGATGATTTCCTCTCCCACCTCTAACTGTCCTAATTCCATGCAATTCAGCGCCTAATTTAGGTCGCCCACACAAGGCCGTTTCTGAGCGTTTGCAGCTCCACCAGCCTCCTCCTTGGCCTCTCTCAACCCTCCTACCGCACTCCGCACTCACACCATAAAGTTGGCACCTGAATACCCACCTGCCTCAGGTCATCCCTCAGCAACCTAGAGGGTGAGGCCCTCTATGTCTGTTCAGATATGTCTGTCCCCTCAGCCCTCTCTCGGAGCCCTGAACAAAACTGAGTCTCCAAGGCCTGTAGTCCATCGTACCCCAGTTTCTGCTGACCCCCACACTGTTCAGATCGTCTCTTGTGCTGTGTGAATATCTGATAAAGCAAAAGCATAGCAGTCTGATGGGGGATGAATGGCTTATTAGGATGTGAAAAAACAAAACTTTTTATTGTTTTGGGTTATTTGTTTTTCCTTTGCAGCAAGCGCTAGAGCACAATTCATTTTTTTCCACTGAAAAGAAAGTTGAGCAAGGAAATGTAGAGCAAGCCTTTAAATATGTTGATCAAATCATTGAAGGTAAGTGGTCTTGGGCCAGAAAAGTAACTTCTCTGAAGTTGAAGACTCTAAGTTCAGTCATTTGGTTTGAGAAATACTGAAACTTCAAGGCAGAGCTCTCAACCCTAGTGTGATTTTTAAATCAAAATTTTAAATGCGCAAATAAGTTTACAGTTTGAAATTTTATGTATCTGTACAAATCTATGTAAACACTACCCACATCAAGATACAGAACACTTCCAGGGCGCCTGGCTGGCTCAGTTGGAAGAGTACGCAACTCTTGATCTTAGGGTTGTAAGGTCGAGCCCCACGTTGTGTGTAGAGATTACTTAAAAATAAAATCTTTGGAAATACATATAGAGAACACTTCCAGCAGCCCAGAAAGTTTCCTCTTGCTCTCTCTCAATCAGTAACTCTCCCAAAGGTCTTTATCACTACAGAAAAGTCTTACCTCTTTTGAACTTCATGCAAATAAAATCTTACAGTATAACTTTCTTTGTGCCTACTTCTTTTATTCAACATTGTGTATGGAAGATTCATCCAATTGTAACATTGATCAGTAGTTCTTTTTCATCGTTTAGGAGTATGCCATTGTATAAATAATTCCACAATTTATTTATCCATTCTATCATTGATGGACTATTCAGCTATTTTTCAACATGATGTTATGAATAAAGTTTCTATAATATTTTACATATCTTTTGGGGGCCATAAGCAGTCATTTCCATTGAAATATACCCAAGAGTAGAATTGCTAAATAATAGTGCTTTTTATATATTTACCTTTAGTAGTTAATGCCAAACATTAAAAAAAAATTTTGTTCCAAGTTGTACTCCTATTAGCAATTATGAGATTTCCATTTTTCTGTTGTTATCATCAGTCTTTTTAGTTTTATCTAATCTGGTGGAGTACTATCTCATGTGGTTTCCATTGAATTTCTTTTTTTTTTTTTTAAGATTTTATTATTTGAGAGAGAGAGAATGAGAGACAGAGAGCACAATAGGGAAGAGGGTCAGAGGGAGAAGCAGACTCCCTGCCGAGCAGGGAGCCCGATGCGGGACTCGATCCAGGGACTCCAGGATCATGACCTGAGCCAAAGGCAGTCGCTTAACCAACTGAGCCACCCAAGCGCCCTTCATTGAATTTCTTTGATGACTAGTGATATTGAATCCTTTTCATACATGTATTGGCCATTTTTAGGTCCGCTTTTGTGAAATATTTGTTCAAGTCTTTTGCCTGTTTTTTTTAATTAATTACAAGTGATAATGATAATTAATATGTTATGTTGCTATAATTATATATAATTGATTTTAATATAATTAGTATAATAATTACTTGATTTACTTACAAATTTATAGGTTTCTTTGTTTTTGGTATAAGTTCTTCGTTGGTTCTAAGTATTGCACATATCTTCTCCCAGCCTGTGGATTGCATGTTCAACGTCCTCATTATTCTTTTTCATGAACAAAAGTTCTTGATTTTAATGTAGAACAATTTGTCAGTCTTTTCTTTATGGTGCCCAGTGTTGTTGAGCCCATGAAGAAATTCTTGCCTATCCAAAAGTCATGAAGATACTTTTCTATGTTTACTCCTAGAAGCTTAATAATATATTTTAGCCTTGACACTGAGGTCCATGATCCATCTCAAATTAATTTCTCTGCCTGGTATGACACAGGGGTCAAGGTTCAGTTTTTTTCAAGTGGGTATCCAGTTGACCCAGCACCATCTATTAAAAACTATCTTTTCCTTTAGTGAATTGCAGTGCAGCTTTTATGGTTTTCCATGTGTCTTCATATGTGTTGTTCTATTTCTGAACTCTTTATTATAGTCCATTCATCTGTTTATCTATCTTTGTAATAGACCACACTGTCTTACTTGCTGTAACTCTAATTTAAGTTTGAAATCTGAGAGTGTAATGTCCTTTTGCTAACTCTTTCTCAATATGACCTTAGCTATTATAGGTTCTTTGCATTTCCATATACATTTATCATCAGCTCATCAATTTTCACTAAAAATAACTTGCTGGGATTTTGACTGGAACTGCATTGAAACAATATCAACTTAGAGACTGGAAATCTTAGCAGTATTAAGTTCCAATCCATGAGCAGGATAGACGCTGCCTTTTATTTAGGTTTACTTTAATTTCTCTCAGTAACCGTAGTTTTCACTATAGAGATTTTGCACATCATTCTTAATATTTATAACTAGTATTCGGTGTTTTATAATGCTGTTTTTTTTTAAGATTTTATTTATTTATTTGACAGAGAGAGACACAGCGAGAGAGGGAACACAAGCAGGGGGAGTGGGAGAGGGAGAAGTAGGCTTCCCGTGGAGCAGGGAGCCCGATGTGGGGCTCGATCCCAGGACCCTGGGACCATGACCTGAGCTGAAGGCAGACACTTAATGACTGAGCCACCCAGGCGCCCCTATGATGCTGTTTTAAATGACATTTATTTTTATTTAATTTTCTACTTGTTTATGTCTAGTATATAAAAACACAATTAGCTTTTGTCTATTTAGTTTTTTTAATTTTTTATTTAAATTCAATTAGCCAACATATAGTACATCATTAGTTTCAGATGTAGTGTTCAATAACACCCAGTGCTCATCACATCACATGCCCTCTGCCACAATTAGCTTTTATATGTTGATCTTATATCTAAGAACTTTACTAAATTCACTTACTATTTTAATAGTCTTGTAGATTCTCTTGAATTTTATGTATATACAAACATATCACGACAGTTTTATTTATCTTTTCCAATCTTGATACTATAGTTTATTTGTTGGTTTATTTGTTTGTCTGCTTTGATTTACTGAACTGGCAAAGACCTAGTTAGTATGATTTTTTTAAAGTTTTTTTAATTTATTAATTTGAGAGAGAGAGAGCACAAGCAGGGGGAGCAGCAGAAGGAAGCAGGTCCCCCACTGAGCGGGGAGCCCGATGTGGGGCTCCATCCCAGGACCCTGGGATCATGACCTGAGCTGAAGGCAGACACTCAACTGACTGAGCCACCCAGGCGCCCTGATTTTTTTAATACCAATGCCCAAATCCCACCCCATCAGAACTTTGAGTACAAGGTGAGAGCATCAGTATTTATCTAAAAGCTCCCCAGATGATCCTAAGGTGTATCCAGGATTGAGAAACACAGCTCTTTAAAGAAAATTACTTCCAGTCTTGGGTAAGAGAAAATAGTAATTTTCACAGAATCTATTACCCTCTTCTAAAGAGTTGGAATAGAGTGTTCTGTAAGCTTTTAATCTTTTATGAAAACCTGGAAGAGAGCTTTTTTTTTTTTTTTGGACTTTTTGCATGACTTACATTTTGTTGTCCAAAGAAATAATTTCAAGAAATCCTTTGACTCCTGGCAAAAATAACTCCTCACTTATTTTAACAGCACAGGAATCTTTTGGCTAATTTTTGTTGTTGCTGTTATTCTTAATTGAATTATAGTTAACATACATTAAAATAAAAATACTGAGGTATTTAGTATTTTATTTCGTTTTAAAGTAAAAATGCCTTCCAAATACTGAAACTAGGGCCAAATGCCTCTTCTGGTATGACCTAGAAAATGATAAGGGTATACTGAGCAAGCAAAAATCTCAGCTAAACCAGCAGGAGCAGGCTGGTTTTAGGGAAAGAAACAACCTCAGCTCTGCCATTTTAAACCTTTGTGTCCTTTCACCATCTACTGATCTTCGTGACTCAATAATCCTGACATCACCAGACCGACATACATATTGTTACTACCCTCCCCCCTCCCTGTTTTACAGAGGAGGAAATGAGGTTTTAATAACTTGGCCAAATTCACCAGAGATGGTGGCACCTGGATGTGTGGCCAGGTTAGTCTGTATGCTCAAGTCCAGCACATCATGGATCTCGCCACCCCCACTCAACAGATGAGGAGACTGAGGCCGAGAGAGGGGAAGTGAATGACCCAGGGTCATACAGCTGGTTGTGCCCAATCAGTCTTAATTAAAAAAAAGTAGTTTACCAAATGATATAAAGTCCAGCTCTCCATAAGCTAAGGCAACACGCTCCTCATAAACAAAATACCACTGAGAGCCCCCAGCTTGGGACTTTCAACTAAGCATTGTCCTGTGTTTATGACTTACAGGTGAGGCCCATGTAGAAGGGCAGGAACATTTCTACACGGAAACACAAACTATCCTGGCTATCCCAAAGCAGGAAGATAAAGAAATGGTGCTATACCTTGGAACACAGTTTCCAAGCCATGTGCAGGTAACAGGATATTTTTGGAAATGAGACTCCAGATAATGGTGTGCTATAAGGCCCTACAACCAGGCACTCTGCTCTGGGGAACTTTGGATTCCTTCCACTCCTGTGACTCAAACTCTCTGTATATTTGACATAAGATACAGTCCAGAATGAAGAAAATGGGGCAAATATTTCCCTAAAAGGGCAGACTTTTCAAAGAAATGAAAATTTTGTTATCTTTCAAAACATGTGCAAGATTTATCTTACCCTTATAACAATTGATAGTGTAAAACCTAATGTCAGGGAGGTCACAGCCTTAGTATTATATTTAAACTTCCCCTGTGGTTCATTGGTGTCACTTCTCTGTCTTAATGTTTGCATGCACTGGTGATGCACATTTAAAGAGATTATGTTTCCAGTGCAGTAGCAGGTGATTTCCAGTCCTATTCCAGTGGTTGAAATATAAGGCATTGCTGCACCCAGGCAAGTAAAGGAAATCCTCTGACATTCCCCTCTTCTGTGATATGGAGATGTTGGTTCTAAAATAGTGTCTGGCACAGGGGTTACTTAAACAGTTGTGCTGTGAGGAGGAGTAATGACAAGCATCACTGAGGGGGAAAGCTGAGGGCTTCCTGGTAGAGCAGAGTGAGTTGGTGCCTTGGGGTCCTGCAGGGGTGGATAGGCTCAGTGGGAAGAGGAAGCTGCTGTTCAAGGCAAAATGAAAGTCTTGAGGGCACTGATGTTGAGCTGGGGTTTGTTTGTGGCCTCCACGGTTGCAAGTTCTGAAGCGGACAGCAGAGGAGTGAGGAGTTATGGTTTTGCCCCTAAAAAATTATGTGATCACCCACAAGTTGCCGGGCACCAGTATCTTTTTCTATAAATTGAGGGAGGTGATAAAGATCACCTCTGAACTCTTTTGACAGAGAGTATGCAGCTCTGGGCTCCAAATGGATAAAATGTATGTCCCAGGTTACCATTGCTATCTATCATCAATACCTTCTAAGGTGCAATTAGTTAACTTCATGAGGCATTTCCCAGAGGTAATGAGGGTACAGGGTGCTCACAGCCCACAGCCCAGAACCCCGGGGCAATATCTAAAGCAGGCCCAATAAAGGATTTGAACAGATAAAGAAGGTCTATGAATGACTAATAAGCACACGAAAAGATGCTCACAGCTTTGTCACTAAGGAAATGTACATCAAAATCACAATGAGATACCACTCTACATCCACTAGAATGGCTGTAATCAAAAGACAGTAACAAATGTTGATGAGGATGTGGAGAAATTGAAACCTTCATACATTGCTGATGGGCATGAAAAATGGCACAGCCTGGAAAATAGCATGGCAGTTTCTAAGGATATTAAAGATAGTGACTACATAACCCAACAATTCCATGACTAGGTATCTACCCAAGAGAATTGAAGTCATCTGCCCACACAAAAATTTATACGTGAGTGTTCATAGCAGCATTGCTTACAATAGCCGAAAGTGGAAACAATCCAAATGCCCATCAATTGATGAATGGGTAAACAAAGTATAGTATATCCATACAGTGGAATATTATTCAGCCATAAAAAGAATGCAGTACAGTTACATGCTACAACATGGACAACATGCTTTCAACAACCTTGAAAATATTATGCCAAGTGAAAGAAGCCAGTCACAAAAGACCACATATTGTATGATTAAGTTTATATCAAATGTTTCAAACAGTAAATCTATGGAGACAAAAAGTAAATCAGTAGTGACCTAGTACTGGCGGGGCTAGAGGAAGATAAGGAGTGACTGCTCAGTAGATCCAGGGTTTCTTTGGGGACACTTAAATGTTCTCAGATTATGGTGATGGCTGCACAACTCTAAAGATTCTACGTTATGGAACTAAGTATGTTCTAAGTATTTGTTCTAAGTAAATGTTCTATTTCTTGAATTACGGGGTTTCTTCAACTAGGCAGAGGGGAAGTACACAGGTGAGGAAATAAACTATCAGATTGCACTTACGTGGCTTCGGGGACTTACCTCTTGCAGGAATTTGTGGCTGTAGCATTAAACATTCCAAGGAGTAGAATCGCCTGCCATGTGAAAAGAACTGGAGGAGGGTTTGGGGGAAAAGTGACCAAGCCTGCTGTGCTAGCAGCCATCGGTGCCGTAGCCGCCAACAAGTAAGAGTCGTGGTAGCAGCAGTTAACGGCAGCCGCCCTGGTGCTGCAGAGACCATTGTGTCCTCTGGTCCTGCACCCCAGCTTCCGTCCCATGGGTCACAGCCTTTTGTCTTGGGGGCGGGGGGGGGCGGTTAGCAGGTCGGGGAAGGAACACTGGACCTGAGCCAGAAGATCTGTGTTCTAGTCCTGCTCTTGAACTGCCACTCACTCACAAGGTCACCTTGACAAGCCACCTCAGCTTCTTCACCCATAAACTGGTGAAAATAATATCTACTTGTCTTGTAAGATTATTGTGTAAAATAGATGTAATCACTGTGTGCCTTGACTCAGATGTAACCATGTATTACTTTTTCATTGACTTTAACTCTTTAAAATGTTTATGTTTTAAAATGTTAAAATAAATCAAGCTGAGATTGCCTGAGTGGAAGGAGGGTCAAAACCCTAACCTTACAAGGGACATGTTTTGTCATGAAATAAACCAGGGTCTGCTGCTTCTGGGAATGTTCACTTAGCCTCTGCATTATCCAGATGGAGTAGCCAGACACAGGAATAGCCGTGACTTTTGTGAACCTTATAACTACTAAACCTCTCATAAATCTTCAAGACAAACTTAACTTATCCTAGGCTACCGCTACAAAAGGAAAAACTGTGAACGACCTTAGCTCATTGGCACTTTCCAACAATAGAAAAGGCTGTCTTATACATGTGGGTGTGCAGGCACTCAGAACATTCCTTCAGAAGCCAGAGTCCTTGATGGACATTTTATGAACAGGGAGCCTGAATGAAAAGGAGCCTGAGCTCAATAGAGCATGGGTTCTCAACCTTTCCAGCCTCAACATCCCTCATGGCAGTTATTTTAATGCTCCTTTTAACATCCCAAGTAAAGTTCATAATATTATAACCTACTTATACACATAATAGCAAAATAATCATACAATGCCTTAATGTTATATTAAAAAATTAAAAGAAAGTAACTTATAATGAAATAATGTAGCATTTCAATATATAAATTCTCAGACATCACTAAATCAGGATAATAATAGTAATCGTGTTTTTTTAATTTTAATGTTCCCACAAACCTCTGAAATGTTGTTTAAAGCATGTAACTTCCCGCATTAAAAACCACTAAGCCTGATTATCTCAAGCCCCCTTCCCCATCTCTTTGTCTCTACAATTTATGAAGCATCCAGCATATTAACGGAGTCATTTCCTATAGGACTGGCTGCCCAATCCGGTTTATTCTAGAGCATGGTGACGACATGCTGATAACTGCTGGCCGCCACCCACTCCTCGGAAAATACAAAGTGAGTGAGATCAGAAATTTTAGGAAACGGCCTAAAACGTTCAGTGATAACCAACCAACCAACCAACCAACAGGAAGGACAATTACTAAATTCCATGCCATCCAGGAATATTTGGATGCTGCCTACAACTGACCAGAACTTTCTGTTGGGATTCTAGTCAACTTGGGCATCAGCCTCAGTGTCCCTCTGGTGACTGTCACTTTGAGCCATGTTCATAAGTTAGGTAGACTAACAACTGTGATCACATGTGTTTGTGTAGTAACGTGGTTATATTGAGAAAGTGGTTTTATTTATATCACTTTGCAGATAGGATTCATGAACAATGGTGTGATCAAAGCTGCTGATGTTGAATATTATATCAATGGTGGATGCACTCCGGATGAGTCTGAGTCGGTAAGAAGTATGCTTTTCCCAGAGGCTACCAGTTGAGCTGTATCTGTCATACTTTATTTGCATGAATATTTGTCATACAAAATAGATAAGTTCTGTGAAGGGTTCTAGTTAGAGATAAAATTAGGTTAAGTGGTTTTGAATATTTGATAGATGTGAAGTCTTGTTGTGTTTTGCTTTAATTCAGGTAATGGAGTTCGTTGTGCTGAAATCTGACAATGCATATTATATTCCTAATTTCCGGTGCCGGGGTAGGCCCTGCAAAACAAATTTGCCATCCAACACGGCCTTCCAAGGATATGGCTTCCCCCAGGCTGCAGTGGTAGTAGAAGCTTACGTAACTGCTGTGGCATCTCAGTGTAACTTATCCCCTGAAGAGGTAATAAGTCAGAACCCCCTAACGAAACAGCTTTGGTTTGGGGCGCCTGGGTGGCTCAGCCATTAAGCGTCTGCCTTCAGCTCAGGTTGTGGTCCCAGGTGGGATCGAGCCCTGCCTCGGGCTCCCTGCTCCGCGGAAAGCCTGCTTCTCCCTCTCCAACTCCCCCTGCTTGTGTTCCTTTTCTCACCGTGTCTCTCTCTGTCAAATAAATAAATAAGTTCTTTAAAAAAAAAAAAAAACGAGGGCGCCTGGGTGGCTCAGTTGGTTGAGCGGCTGCCTTCAGCTCAGGTCATGATCCCAGGGTCCTGGGATCAAGTCCTGCATCGGGCTTCCTGCTCAGCGGAGAGCCTGCTTCTCCCTCTCCCTCTGCCTGCCTCTCTGCCTACTTGTGCTCGCTCTCCCTATCTCTGTCAAATAAATAAATAAAATCTTTAAAAAATAAAAAAATTTAAAAAAATTAAAAAAAAAACGAAACAGCTTTGATTCAAATATATCTTGAGTATCTACATATAACATTATATCAGCTTCTAAGTAGATACAAAGAAATAAAGTACACCATCCATGTATCAGTTAGCTTTTGATATGTAACAAGTCAACCACAAAATTTAATGGACTAAAATAAAACAAAATATTTCTTCTGGTTCTCAGGGTCAGCTGGGTAGCTCTTCTGGTCTGAGCCAGCTCAGCCGGAGTTTTACGGTTTAAGACAGCTTCGTTTACATGTCTGATGGTCACTGGGCCAATTAGTCTGGGGAACATCTCAGCTGAGAAGGGTCATGTCCACTTCACAGAGTCTCATCCTCCAGCAGACTAGCCCAAATTAGTTCTCATGGTGGTGGTCACAGGGGTCCCAAGAGTGGCAAGAATGTGGCAAGCCCACAAGTGTCTGCCTGTATTAATGTGTATTGCCCCATGGGCCAGACCAAGTCATATGGCCAATCCCAGAGTCAGGGTGAAACCACCTAAGAGCATGAATACAGAGAATGAAATGATTGCCATTTGTGCAAACATTCCACCACAGCTCCAGATTTTGAGGAGCTAATTTGAACAGTTAAGAATAAGGAAATGTTGTGTAGGGGTAGAATAATTTTGAATGGGGAGAATTTTGTCTCACCACTAACAAAACTTGTGACAGGGCTGCTATTTCTCATGGTTATGGTGAAGTTAACTGAGATAATACACTTACCCTCCAGCCTGGAGCAGATGAAGTGTTCACCAGTAGTTTCTATTGTTATTGTGGTTATTGTTGTTACTGTGATGTTTACATATATATATTTGCACTTGCATATTTATAGCCATTTAAATAGTTTCCTTTTTTAAAAAAACTTTCTTCATATCAGGTACATAACAAAAACCCATGCTCCACTAATGGAATAAGCATATATCCTTAAAATCCATTTTATTGTTTTTCAGGTTAAAGAAATAAACATGTATGAGACAATTAGCAAAACAACCTACAAGCAGACATTTAATCCAGAGCCCTTGAGAAGATGCTGGAAAGAATGTCTGGAGAAATCTTCATTCCCTGCTAGGAAACTGGCTGCAGAGGAATTTAACAGAAAGAACTACTGGAAGAAGAGGGGGCTTGCCATGGTCCCCATGAAATTTACCGTTGGGTTCCCTGTGGCCTACTACAATCAGGTGAGGTTGAGAGAGGTGTCTGTCTTCTCACCAGAAGCCCTTTTCCACACGACTGGCTGTCTGAAAACGACCATCTTGTGCAACTAGGGATGGCCCCTGTGGGGAGAAAGAAGAAACCGGGGCAGATTCCTACAGCAGGGAACAAAGCGGGTTTAGGCAAGCGATGGGCTCCATAGGTATCAGGGCAGATTAGGTGCGACACAGTACCAGGGGCTCAGAAGGCGATCAATGGGCAAAGTCTAGCTCGAGGGGTCTGACCTTGGGCAGGGCCCCAAACATAAGCACTGGGGCCTGGGGTCTAATTTCAAATCCATGAGAGAATCGGGAGAAATAAGAGGATCTCTTTCTCTCTTTCCTAAATTCTTAGTAGCAGCAGTGGGGTCATTTGAGGACAGAGCTTTCAAAAACACACGAGAACAGACAGAGCCACCCTGTTGGTGCAGGAACTTGGAGTTACTGTGTGAAAGCTTGGTGACTGGTGTGCCTTGTTTTTAGTGTCACCTTGAACAGTGTTTCATGGGGCTCTGCTCTGGATTCTGTCTTATTTTTTGCTTCTATCCGCATCGACCTCTGAAATGTCCCCTTAACAAACCCATGCCGAGGAAGGAATAGAGGCCCCCTTCACGGTATGAATGTCTCTCACCAGATTATCTTCCAGATACACCCTTCCTCAGTGCCCACGAACAAGGCAGAGAGCAAAATGGGAGGGCAAGGGGGGAAGGCCAGGAGCACCGCACCGGTTGGAGCAGCTGCTATCTTGCCCCCCGGGGGGTGGGGGGGGCTTCTTAAGCTACAATAACACGCAAGACCCCCTTGAAAGGAAAATTTCTGTGGACTCTCAATGATCACTTACATTATTTATTTTGATGTTATTTAACTGTGAATAATCTCAAAACAAGGAATAAGCTTCTTATAGCTCTTATGCCTTGATAAAATACAAACAAAACTGGAAGTTAAATAAAAATAGTAATATAAATGCCAGTAAGAAAATAGTAACATTAACTTAATGTAGTGGCTTCTTTTTTTTTTTTTTAAGATTTTATTTATTTGACAGAGAGAGACACAGCGAGAGAGAGAGAGCACAAGCAGGGGGGAGTGGGAGAGGGAGAAGCAGGCTCCCCACAGAGCAGGGAGCCCAATGTGGGGCTTGATCTCAGGACCCTGGGATCATGACCTGAGCCGAAAGCAGACGCTTAATGACTGAGCCACCCGGTGCCCCAAGATATGGCTTCTTTAAAACTCAATCCTCACTCACAAAATGATGATAGTTCCGGCTACTGCTGTACCAGGCATTTTGAAATCTTTATCCTAAATGTCTGCGCAGGGTGTGCTGACTCACCGTCCCACCTCTTGTCTACGATATGCCCCATTAATTAAAGTAGTCCTATTTAGTGGTACAATCATCAACATAGAATGTAACATGGGCTCTGAAAGCACGTGACAATACTCACTGTTACATGGTTATCTGTACTCTCGTTAGATTATCATAAGGTGAAAACACAAAGTTTAAAAGTTCTTGTAGAGAACTTGACAGTCCTGAGAATAGAGTCTCATACTCAAGAGACCAGCATAGGTAAATTAGTTGATATTTTCCATACTTGGTAGCAGGGGCACAAGCATCAGCACAGGGGTCGAGGTTCCAAGGAGGCACCTGCAGGATGCTGGGCCACATGCACCAGCTTGAGAGAGGAATTGATGTAAAGAAGAATTCCAGCAACTTGCAAACCACCTAACATAAGCCAGCCTCCTCCCTCCTCAGGCCTGATTCCTGGAGCCACTTGCACAGACTGTGGGTTCTTCCACTGGAACAGTCAGCCCCAGAGAGAGCCAACAGCAGTGAGTTTGAAGGAGACAGCCTGGCATGGGAGTGGAGGACACTGGGCTCAAGTTAGGAGTTGTGGGTTCCAGTCCTGACTCTGTCACAAACTAAGCACCTGGGTCTGGCCATTCTCCTCTCCAGACTTCTGTTCCCCCATGTGCAAAGTGAAGAATTTGGACCAAATCGTTGGATCCCACACCTGGCCAATCATCAAAATCACCTGGGAGCTTAAAAAATAGATGCTTAGGCTCTACCTCCAAACTTCTACTGAGTTGGAATTTCCAGAATGAGACCCATACTTTTTCCCTACCGTAATGCTGAAGGTCAGCAACATTTGGAAACCGTTAAAACATCTCAAGGTTCTCCCAGCTCCTCTAGTATCCCAGGCAGTCTGTGCCCAGAAATTTACTCATACAGGTTCTATTTGCTTTAAAATGAATTTTCATGCCTGGAGAGAAGAATAATAAACTATTGTACAAGTTGAGGCTTTGGAGTGGCCTCAGAGCAATGACACAAGGCCTCCAGAAGGCCAGGGACTGGTAGGTGGGGAGATGAGCCACCATTCATACATTGACATTGATGGTTCTCCGGTCTGGGGTTTCTTGACAGGGGTTGTCTGTTGCTACCTGTAAAGGCTTTCTTCCCTAGTGCAAACACTGAGAGATTGGCTCAATAAAGCAAAACTATTCATCTGGCAACCTCAGCTAAACTCTCCGCAACATTTGGCCTCATCATTTTCCAAACTGGTGTAATTATTTCCCCTAGGCTGCCGCTCTAGTCCACATCTATCTTGATGGCTCCGTCCTGGTGACTCATGGTGGCTGTGAAATGGGACAAGGCCTTCACACCAAAATGATTCAGGTGAGATAAGTGCCTGTCATCACCACTGTAGCAAAGTATAGCCCCTTACAGTCAGCTGAGCAGCTTTTTTCCTGTTAAGCAGGAGAAATACCATCATGCTACATGCATGGATCCACTGTAAGACTCATCTTGATTTCAGGAATGCAGACTGCAGGGGGGTGAGGGAAGCGAGTGTCAGAACTGAGGAAATATGTGATCTTATTCTTCCTGAAAAAAAAAATCAGGTCTTCTGAAAAATGTGATTCCGGTTTTCTGTTTTGTTTTGTTTTGTGATTCCGGGTTTTTTTTAATCTTTTATTTTATTTTATTTATTTATTTGAGATAGAGAATGAGAGATAGAGAGCACGAGAGGGAAGAGGGTCAGAGGGAGAAGCAGACTCCC